CCTACTAGGAGCAATTTTTGAGATATGGCTAAACCTGTCAGTCTACCTACCTGTCAAGATGATTTGACAATTTTGTACTGGCTGGTAATTTGTCACATGTTGTGTAATACTATTTGTAGTTTTTTGAGTGTCAGTATAAAATGTGTTAGCGAAACTCATGTTTATCTTTTATTTTATCCATTCGTTTTAAAATGGAAACGTTGCAATCAAAACTATCAAAAGTTGACCAACCTGCTAATAATGCTGATAAAAGGAAGCCTACATTAAGAAAACATTATGAAAATTAGCTTATAAGCAGTTGCATATTTGGGATTTTTTTGCTCAAATCCAATAAAATCATTTTTGGAGAGGAGCGGTTACATCAATTCATTTATCTTTTTATCAATTCCACAGTTCAAAAACATCTCCCGTAATAAATGAAATCAACTACCCTAACCGTACTGCTTGGTAATATAGTAACAAATTGGGCATGACAGTCTTCCTGTTTCTGAGACCTAACCTTTTATTTATTTAGTTTTTCTACATGGAATCAAAAGCTTTATATTTTACTTCGCCATTGTCTTTCAGCCTGTTCTGCAATTAGCACTGGGAGGCATTGAAATAAAAAGTTAACCAGGCAAGAATTTTTATTTCAGCCACTGCAATTTGCCCTAAAATATTAAAATTTTTGAGGTCCAGTTTTTCATTTCTTTAATTTCTTCTATGCTGATACATAATTATTTGTAAAAATTTCATCAACATTTTAGATATAATGATGCCTAACTATTTTAAAGATTTATGTATTATTGGAAAATCCTAAAACTCTGTAAGTTTCCATTTGGGTTTTTGGGCGTATGTGAAAAAAACCACATAATTTATGAAAATTAATTGATTGTTCAGACACCTCTGCAAATTCCTCTAACTCCTTCTTAATATAATTAGCTGAGAGTCAAGACCATATAATCTGCAAATAGATTTAAAAGATATATCTTCTTTCCTATTTTTATCCCATTAATTTGATAATTAGATCTAAATGCAATTGCCAGCACTTCTATAGTTAGGCTGAATAGCAATGGTGATAAAAGACAACTTTGCTTATTATCTCTTAAAATTGTAATGGGAATCTGAATCATAACCATTATGTTTTATGGGGCTTTGGTTGATCTGTTGATATGTTCAATCATTTTACCCAGCACCAAATTTAAGTTCAATACAGGTGGTCCTCGCCTTACAACAGTTTGTTTAGTGACCATTCAAAGTTACAGCAGCACTGAAAAAAGTGAGTGATAACCATTTTTCACACTTATGACTGTTGCAGCACCCCCATGATCACGTGATCAAAATTCGGATGCTTGACCACTGGTTCATATTTATGATGCTTGCAGTGTTCTGGAGTCATGTCAGGGGTGAAATGCTCCCAGTTCGGACCAGATCACCCAATCCGATAGCGATGGAGGCGGGTGGTTGGGAGAACCGGTAGCAAAAATCCCTGCCCAACCCCCCCATGCCCAGCTGAGCCGCACAATCATCAGAGGCTTATTTTTTTACTTTTAAAAGCGTTTTTTCTACAACCTCTTCGATGGAAAAAATGCTTTTAAAAGTAAAAAAAAAAAGCCTCTGATGATCACGCGGCTCAGCTGGGATTGTCAAAGGCTTTTAAAAGAAAAGAAGGGTTTTTTTCTTTTAAATGCCTCTGACGATCCAATCTGAGTTGCCTGATCAGGCAGCTCAGCTTGGATCGTCAGAGGCATTTAAAAGCATTTTTTTACAACCTCTTGTAGAAAAAATGGTTTTAAAAGTTAAAAAAAAAAATTGGCCACGCCCACTCAGTCACATTACCCCCCCCACCAAGCCACGCCTACAGAACCGGTAGTAAGAAATTTTAGATTTCACCACTGAGTCATGTGATCAACTTTTGCAACCTTCTGTCAAGCAAAGTCAATGGAGAAGCCAGATTCACTTAACAACCGTGTGACTAATTTAACAACTGCAGTGATTCACTTAACAATTGTGGCAAGAAAGGTCGAAAAATGGAGCAAAACTCACTTAACAAATGTCTCACTTAGCAACATAAATTCTCGGTTCAATTGTGGTCTTTAATATTGAGGACTAGCAATAGCAATAGCACTTAACTTATATACCGCTTCACGGTGCTTTTTACAGCCCTCTCCAAGCAGTTTACAGAGTCAGCCTATTGCCCCCAATGACTACTTGTATTTGTTTTTTAAAAATGTAGTTTGAGTGAGTCAAAAGCTGTAAATATTCTAAATAACGTATAGCTAATATTTATTAATTTCATTAATTTGTATAGTTCTAATCATTTAAATAATAATATTTTTTAAAGGACCAATTAGAGCAGAGGTCCCCAATCCCCGGGCCATGGAAGAGCAGGAACTGGGCCACGCAAGCAAGCAAAGCCTCATCTGCACACGTGCGAGATCCAGACAGTGTATGAAACCACGCAACCCAGTCCACGAAAAAAACACTTTCCGCAGAATCAGTCCCTGGAGCCCAAGAGGTTGGGAGTCGCTGAATTAGAGAACACCCACAAAACCATCAACATCTTCAAAGGATTCCAATTCACCAGGGAAGAAGAAAACAACTCACTACTCTTCCTGGATATCCTGATCAGCAGAGACTATGATGGCAAACTAGAAACACAAGTGTACCAAAAAAAACAAAACACCCACATTAATCAAGTGCTCCACTACCAAATAACCCAACCTCCCACAAGCAAAGCTGTGAAGAACTCTATTTAGGCAAACACAAATACCCTTCAGCAACAACCCTGAAAAAGGAAACAGATCATCGCACATCAAAAAAGTTGCTTGATATTATGGAAAGCGTATTCCTATTAGCATTCTTTCCTCTGCATTCATATCCTTTCCCCCTTCTCCCTCCCCTCTTGGAAAATTACTCTTCATCCTTATCCCTCCCTCCATCCCATCCTGCATGCAATGCAGTGGTGGGTTTCAAATTTTTTTACTACCAGTTCTGTGGGAGTGACTTGGTGGGCCTGGCATGGCTTGGTGGGTGTGGTTTGGGCAAGGGAAGGATACTGTAAAATCTCCATTCTCAATCCACTCCAGGGGAAGGATACTGCAAAATCCCCATTTCCTCCCGATCAGCTGGGACTTGGGAGGCAGAGAATAGATGGGGGCGGGGCCAGTCAGAATTTTTACTACCGGTTCCCCAAACTACTCAAAATTTCCGCTACTGGTTCTCCAGAACTGGTCAGAACCTGCTGAAACTCACTTCTGATGCTATGTCATACCTACACATCCTTTGTTGTTGTTAGTTGCGAAGTCATGTCCGACCCATCATGACCCCATGGACAACGTTCTTCCAGGCCTTCCTGTCCTCTTCCACCCTCTGGAGTCCATTTAAGCTCACACCTACTGCTTCGGTGACTCCATCCAGCCACCTCGTTCTCTTTTGTTCCGTTCTTCTTTTGCCCTCAATCTTTCCCAGCATTAGGCTCTTCTCCAGTGAGTCCTTCCTTCTCATTAGGTGGCCAAAGTACTTGAGTTTCATCTTCAGGATCTGGCCTTCTAAAGAGCTGTCAGAGTTGATCTCCACTAGAACTGACCGGTTTGATTGCCTTGCAGTCCAAGGGACTCGCCGGAGTCTTCTCCAGCACCAGAGTTCAAAGGCCTCAATTCTTTGGCGCTCAGCCTTTGTTATGGTCCAACTTTCATAGCCATACATTGCAACTGGGAAAACCATAGCCTTGACTATATGCACTTTTGTTGGCAGGGTAATGTCTCTGTTTTTGATCCCACTTAAATAGCAAAAAAATAATAATAATAAAATGCAGAGGACTCTCAAAGGATCCTCTTCACAGTCTACAAAGAGATGCCCAACTGAGAGTCCTCCCTTCACTAGTCAACGAACTCCCACATTTAATTAACACAGTTCCTTAACACTGTTTTTACTTATAAGTATTCCACGATGCACAACTACCATAGAGCCTGCCCATCATGATCATAAGTCCTGCTTGTCATAAATCAGGTCACCCACACGATGGACCCAATTTTGTTATCTTTTTTTGTGGTCATCACTATGACCACAATGATCATTGAACAATAGGCTTGCTAGGAACCAGTTTTTCCGAAAAAGTGTGTTGGCAAAAATATTGTGCAATCACATGACCATGGAATACTGCAAACAGCTGTAAAGTTGACCTGGTTGCTCAATGCCCAAAGTACTGTTAAGTGATGGGGGGGGGGGGGGGGGGGGGCGCAACCCGCAGAACTTTGAATCTAAGTACCTTCAAAATATGTCCATGGTGTCTCTGAATGGTTGCTAAGTGACTAATTGTAATTTGAGGGTTATCTGTATACAGGTAGTCCTCGACTTACAATCAGTCATTTAATGATTGTTCAACGTTACTGCCAGCATTCCAAGTAATGCACCCAGAGAAAACAGAACTCCAAAGCAGGCAAATTCCTCAAAGAACAGTTTATTGGATACATAATTTTGGCACAACTGGTGAAAGCCGACTCTGAAAGTTCCCATGGCTTTCACCTAATTAAAAAATAAAAGTTTCCCCTTTCCCCCAAGTCACTGGTCACGCTGTTCAATCCAGTTGCTTGGTTACTTTACTCCTCCTCTGGCCAGCCACCTGTGAGAATGTCCTTGGTTCCCACAGGAAAACATTTATTGTTTTGGCTACAAAACCCCATCTAACTTATTTTCCCCCTCCCTCTATTGTGTGGCAACCCTGAAGCCTCCAAGATGGCCTCATCCAGATTCACTTTAGGGTTGACAGTTACAACAGCACTGAAAAAGGTGACTTGTGACCAGTTCTCACACTTACGACTGTTGCAGCATTCCCCACAGACACATGATCAAACTTGGCAACTAATATGTATTTACAATGGTTGCAGCACCATCCCAGGGTCCTGGGATTGTCATTTGCAACCTTCCTAGGGAACTTATGGCGAACAGAATATCAGATTCGGGTGAATGTCAGGGTTCCAAATAGCATCCTCAATTAAATAAGAGTCCGAGGCTAGAGATTCCTCAAAGTTCCAATTTATTAGAAGAGCCATGTTGGTACATCTGGGAAAACCTGAATATGAAAGCTTCCAGGTTTTCCCCACCCAGTTGAAAGTTCAAAACCCAGCACCCACATGTCCATCACATGGTCCAATCTGTCACTGTCCCAAAAGAAGATTCCTCCCAGTGAGACCCCTCCAAGTGCCAGGGTAAGATGACCTTGACTCTCTGAGAAAGAATGTTATTTTGACTACAAATCTCCCATGCTCCATACAATCCCCCCTCCCAGTTTCCCACAGTAGAATATGTGGTAGGCTTGAGGCCCACTGTAAAAGATGGCTTCCAAGCCTGACACACTCAATGGGGGAAGCCAGATTTGCTTAACAACCACATGATTCACTTAACAATTGTAGTGGTTCTCTTAACAACCAGGGCAAACAGGTCATAAAATAAGGCATAACTCACTTAACTGCCTCCTTAGCAACAAATTGTCTCAATTATGATCATAAATTGAGGACTACCTGTATTATTTTTAACTTTAATATTTTACCCTTTTTAAACTATTTTTCTTCTATCTCTAAAATAAAAAACTCAGAGTTTTAGAGTCTGTAAAATTTCTTGCATTCTGTACTCAGTGCAATGTGCTTATCTAATCTTCAGTTTGTGGTTGAGCCAGCTTTCCACAATTCCAAGGACAAATCAAATTGCTTCCTTCAGTCCTTGTTAAGAGCTCTGTAGAAATAACATTTTGTCCTTGTAGTATTAAAAACAATTGATTTGAAAGGGAATCCCCACTTGTATTGAATTTCATTCTGCATGTTTATCTGTCAGTGGTCTGAATTATTTTCTTCAGGCAATGTAGCTACACTGCCATCTTGGAAGAAGAATATTCTTTTACTGTTCAGTTTAATCTCCTTCAACCCAGTGAATGAAGAATATGAAGAACTTCAGCTTCTTCACTGCTGGGAAGAGGTACTTCCTCAACCTTCTTTGGGTTCTTTCAAATAAGATTTAAACCCCTTCCCTTTGCACAGAATCCTCTTCCTTGACATTCTGTTTAAATTATCTTTCTATTTGATGAGAAGAGAAAAATGTGGGTTAGACAGCATCACCAACAGATGGATTTGTAACTGGCTGACCAACTGCACTCAGCGTGTGGTCCTCAATGGAACTGCATCTACATGGAGGGAAGTATGCAGTTGGGTACCCCAAGGCTCTGTCTTAGACCCAATACTCTTCAACATCTTCATCAACGATTTGGACGAGGGGATAGATGGGGAACTCATCAAATTTGCAGATGACACCAAGCTAGCAGGAATAGCCAACACACCAGAAGATAGGCTTAAGATACAGAAGGATCTTGACAGACTTGAACGTTAGAGACTTGAACAGACTTGAACATAGAGAACTCTCTAACAAAATGAAATTCAATGGTGAAAAAAGTAAGGTTTAGTCAAGAAAAAGAAAATGCATACGCACAGTATATGTGGTACCTCGCTCAATAGTAGTAACTGTGAGAGGGATCCTGGAGTCCTAGTGGACAATCACTTAAATATGAGCCAGCAGTGTGCAGCAGCTGCCAAAAAAGCCAACACAGTTTTAGGCTGCATAAACAGAGAGATTGAATCAAGAACATGTGAAGTGTTAATATCACTTTATAATGCCTTAGTAAGGCCACACTTGGAATACTGTGGGCACAATGTAAAAAAGATGTTGAGACTCTAGAAAGAGTGCAGAGAAGAGCAACAAAGATGATTAGGGGACTGGAGGCTAAAACATATGAAGAATGGTTGCAGGAACTAGGTAGGTCTAGTTTAATGAAAAGAAGGACTAGGAGAGACATGATAGCAGTGTTCCAATATCTCAGGGGTTGCCACAGAGAGGAGGGGGTCAATCTATTCTCCAAAGCACCTGAGGGCAGATCAAGAAGCAATGGATGGAAACTAATCAAAGAGAAGCAACTTAGAACTAAGGAGAAATTTCCTGACACTTAGAACAATTAATAAGTGGAACAACTTGCTTCCAGAGGTTGTGAATGCTTCAACACTCGAAGTTTTTAAGAAGAGATCGGATAACCATTTATCTGAAATGGTATTGGGTTTCCTGCCTGAGCAGGGGGTTGGACTAGAAGACCTCCAAGGTCCCTTCCAACTCTTGTTATTCTATTCTATTTTATTTCAAGATATTTAGAAAGACAAACTGGTTATATATTAATAAAAATAGCTAGATGGAGGGAAGAACAGAGAACTGAGCACAGCATTCTCGTCAGTGGCTAGTCACACTCCCCTATGTGTGATTAATATTTTTATATGAATATCATTCCACTGTATAAACCAAGAATAAGGCGTCCTGCACAACAACCTGCACAATCCCTTGCCATGGGCCATGTGGATTGGGGCCAATACCAACTGAAGTCTCAAATATCTAAAAGGCATGACATTCATCACTGATACAAACAGCTTTTAGTGGTAGAGTTCTGGTTCATCAAATAACCTGTTATACGAAGCATCTACAAGAGCCCTCATTTGATATATATTTCTACCTTTGTGATGGCTTATAGAATGACAAGCTTGCTTGATTTGTTAAGCAAGATCAATACAGTGCCTACGTTTCCCATCCATTTCACATAGCAAAAATCAGGATGGCAGTACAGTGTAAGCAATACAAGGAACAACATGGATGTTCCTTTGGATAAACAATTCTATCCGATATCTCTTTAGTAATTACAAACTGTACATTTATCTACAAAAATTGCAATTGCTGAAGAGTGACCCCCTGACTTTAGTCAATCCAATGCACATTTCCACAATTAACCAACACAATATGATGTCCCAACCAAAGAAACTGTGTCCTCCAAAAGTTTTTGACTTCAGATCATATCCGATTGTAGACCGTGTTCTTTCGGGATTCTGGGAGCTGAAATCCAATGAACCAAGGAGCAGATTCTATTAGGAGAAGGCTGATACTAGTTTTTATTCTCCATTCCTCTAAAAACCAGAGTGTTCTTTCCATTTTCAAGCCTTCTGCAATGTTCAGGAAAGCCAATAGTGAATCAGGAAGACAAACCCATGCCCTCTTCTAGTCCTTCTCCTGATGTGACTGAACTTTCTTTTTTCACTTCCCAGTTCCTCAGGTCTAATTCTGCCTGAACTCCAAAAGGCTGTAAAAGAGAAGAACAATGTAAGAATCCCAATACAAGTACCTAGCAGAAAAGACTATTACAGGAAGTCGTGATTTACAACCATTCATTTAGCAACTGTTCGAAGTTATAACGGCACTGAAAAAAGTGACACGACCTCGCTCTTATGACCATCACAGTGTCCTTGCAGTCATGAGATCAAAATTCAGGGGATTGCATCTAACATGTATTTATGATGCTGCAGCACCCCGGGATCACCTTCCCAGACAATCAAAGTCAATGGGGGAAGCCGGATTCACTTAACTGCAGCAGCCATTTGCTTAATGACCAGAGCAAAAAAAGATAATAAAATCAGACACAACTCACTGAATAGCCACATCACTTAACGATGGAAGTTCCAGTCCCCAACAATTGTGCTTGTAAGTCAAGGACTACCTGTAACTTCAAGTCTCCAGTAGTAGAAGTTACAATAACAGTCATTATTTAATTTCTATACTGCTTCTCACTGATAAGCAATGAGCTAAGTGTTCAGCAGTGGTTTGAGAGAAGCACACTTTGGAAGTTTGTTTTCCAATCAGTATGTTACCAGAATACTGTCCAGGGCTGCAGATGTATGGTCTAAATTTAGAGGGGGGAAAAAACCAGTCATACAGGCTAATCCTTTTTAGGATTTGTATTACCATAGCTGATAAAGATGGATAAAATGTTTTATGACAAAAAATTCTCTTCCCAGAACAAGCCATTACATGTGTTCTAAAGGCAATCTTATCTTGGAACACTCCAAATTCAAATAAGCAATACCTGCAGCTCAGTAGTGAATTCTAATCAGTTTTACCACCGGCTCACATCGCGCATGTGCATCGTGCATCACTCACCTGTCGAGGAGATTTCATCAAAGATGCGACTCGACCTGCTTTCTCAGAATTGACTTTTTTCTTCTCCAGCAGCAGCCGAGTGTTAGGTATGTAACTCCACGAGCGACCCAGTGCTGGTTTAAAACCACCACCAGCATCTCTGGTCACATGATTTGTCAACTAAAAGATAACAGATAGTTTTAGCATCACTACAGTCATAAGCTGAGTACCACCCGTATTCTAAAAGGTTTATGAGGCCCATTTGAAAAAAACAGTCTTAGAAGAAAAGGTACTGTATTTTTCAGAGTATAAGATGCACCTTAGTTTTTGGGGAGGAGAATAAAAAGCAAGGAACTTGCAGCAGACCTAACGTATTAGCTGACCTAGCTCACACTGGAAGAGCAAAACTATAGCACTTAAGCACACATAAAGTCAAAAGCAAGCATAAGTAAAAGCTTGGTCCACATACTTACCAATATGGCAATCCCAAATTCTTTGGCAAGGGTTTTCATCTCCCTAGCCAAATGCATCATGAGGGCCATGCCTACGAAGGGAGAAGGCGAGATCACCGCATTTAAAGCTATACAATTCTCTTTATTCATTGCATTTCCCCTAGACTCTGGGGGTTGCCTCAAAATATACACCTATCTAGCAGAAGGGAAACAAGAAAAACTTTCTGTATCATATCCATGCTGGAGAAGCCTTTCAAAATTGTATGAGCTAGGAACACCTAGCTATCTAATTAAAAAGGGCCTTGCTCTTTTATTACTTCAGGAAAAAAAGTAAAAAGTTGTTTAATCACCTGGAAGAAGTATGAACCTAAGAATGCTTATTTAGAATACAGTTATGATGCAACACCCCTTCAAGGCACCAAACTTTCTTTTTTTCATAATTTGAAGGACATCGTTTGATAGAGGAACCATCTGTTAATAATTGCTTCTCTGAGTTCTTGTAAGCTTCTGCTTGAGTCAACAATTGAAGTATTTTGTCACCTTGGTTTGGGGGTGGATAGCACATTTGGGAACCAAGTTATCACTTTACATTAAAACATGTTTTATTTTCTATTGTCTTCCATGTTATATTTTTAACTCTTTAAGGCAGGGTGACTGACTTTGGCAACTTTAAGACTTGTGGACTTCAAGTCCCAGAAGGGAATTCTGGGAGTTGAAGTCCACAGGTCTTAAAGTTGCCAAGATTGGACACCACTGCTTTAAACTATGGACCATGTAGGATATGATTCTGTAAAACAATAGGACCATTAATGAAGCATATTAAGAAACATTCTCGGTGATGATAGGTGTACATAACTGACCATCGGGCTGTCGAAGTCCCAAGAAAGGGCAAATTACAGCAGAAATGGAATCCACAATAAGCAGCTTCACTGGTCCAGAGGTGCTAAGTATCTTTAAAAAAAAAACAATAATAAAAGCAAAGGGCAAATGAAATAAAATTACAAATACAAATCAGAAATTACAAAAAGCCAATGGGTACCTTTCCTTGGAATAGGGGAGTAGATGAGGAAGATGAAGCATCCAAAAACTCAACTTTGCTTATAGTTTAAAGCCAAAGGTTCACACGTCCTACATGTTATCTATGCCTAAATTCTGCACCAGGAAATATTAGTCTTAGATCATCTGAATAGGCTGGGAGTTTGCCTATTTTAATTACATTGAGTAGATCTGCAATCATAGCTCTCTTCAGGAATGCGGGAGAGCAGAATAAGCTAAATGGAATGGTGAGGTTCTGGTAGAAATTCACCATAATGGGTTAGGAAAGGAAAGGAGAAAGTGGGGTTGGCTGGTAAGATGGAGAAGGGAATGATTAGGCAGTCACTATTAAAATATTATTGTTGTTGTTGTTATTATTGTTGTTGTTGTTTTATTCATTAAACATGAAAATCAGTCAATATTTAAAAATGTATTATTATTATTGTTGGTGTTGTTATTGTTATTATTCCTGCATGTTCAAGACTCTTCAAGACTCAGCTGCCCACTTAAAAATCTATTGGCACACTTGACTGCAAGGCAGGGGTAGGATTCAAAAATTTTAGCAGGGGTTCTCTGCCCAGTTGCTGGGTGGGCATGGCTGTGGTGGGCGTGGCCTAGTCAGCCTCCTGCACCACAACGGGGAATGACTTTTTGCCCTCCCCGGGCTCCGGAGGTTTGAGCCTCCGGGAGGGCGAAAGCAGCCTCCCCAGGCTCCCGAGGCCCTCTGAAAGCCGGAAACAGGCCCATTTCCGGCCTTCCCAAACTTCCAGTAGGCCTGTTTTTCGCCCTCCCCAAGCCTCTGCACACGCCCTGCATTTACCTGCATCCAAAACGGGCCGCGTGGGGACTCCTGGGAAGGGAGGGGAGGGTGGGCGGGGCCAGCCAGGAGTGGATTTGGGGGTTCTCTGAACTGCACAGAATCTTAGCTAGAGGTTCTCCCGAACCCCCAGCAGCCCACTCCAGCTGCAAGGCTTATTCAATGCTAGATCCTTCAGTCTACCATCAGGTTTCTCTAATTATTTCAAATGTGATAGCAAACTTGAAGAAACAAAATGATCTCCCGTTTCTCCCTCCTCTTATTCTAACTGCTAAGGTGATAGCAATATACCCATCAAAGGTAAAAGATTTGTTACACCAGGAGAGTATCTTTAAATTGTCTAGGAAAAAGACTGAAAGGTGCCAAAAGGATGAGAAATGACTTCTGACTAAGAGTCAATTTAATATGTGGTAGTACCAGTCAAGTTATAACCACGAGAAGACAATGCAGAGTCCATTAAATAACATTGGCTTTTATTTATGATTGAGGACTGAGTGGTTGTTAGTAGGATTCACTGGGATTGGGATTTTTTTTGTCTTTCACTGTGAGTTGTATTGTGTTGGGGGGGTGTATGAAGGGAGGCTCAGCTAATCTCATAGTACACATGTTGTACTCTGACAATAAAGGTTTGAATTCAATTCAATTCAATTGAATTGAAGTACATTTTCTCCTTTGATTTACAAGGTATCAAGGAAGAAATATGAGGTCTCTGCCTAAGAACAAGGAGCAACCAAGCATATACGGAGTTTTTAGTTCTAGTTGCTGAGAATGAGAAAGGCACTTATGAAAGTGCAGAATTCTGATCCATTCATCCAAGACATGACAAGTCCTCTCAACCTGAGTAGGAGGACTTTAGAAAAAGCATGAACGTTGGTTGAAGGCAGGATACTGTGCAGGATTTTTTTTCACCATCTGATAAAGTAGTCCAAGAAATCACTGGAAAGTTTGCATCGACTTAGAAAATATGGGAGTCCAAACTTAAATGGCTAGTGTTGGCAACAGACATAAAGAGAAAAAAAACCCCCATGCATATCTGCTGGAATTGAAAAAGTTAGAGCAGACTCAGTGATTCTAGTCTTCCCAGTTACTTTTAATGGTGAAAAGCATTAAAAAGCAGGGATCATGTGTCAGTATATTCATGAACTGGAATAGGTATAGCAACAGGTCAGCCAATGGAAGACTGTTTAGTAACTGAAACATAATATTTGTTGTATGGGGCCACTGGAGACAATTTGGAGCCTGGGCGTGGCTTAACTGTTCTGTATATAAGCTTGACTAGCTTCTCTCTCCTCCATTTTTGCCTTCTTGGTTTTGCTGTTTTCATTTGCTTGCCTCCTTTTGCTGGCCTCCATTTTGTGCTGTGTTTCTACTTGCTATTTCTCTTCTCTACAACGTGAAAAAACCTACAAGGGTATTGTATATGCCTTATGTGTTGTTATGTATATAAAGAAGTTTTGAATCCTGCTGAATTGTCTGATTGTGTGTGCTGCAACGAACTCCGATACCAATACTGGTTTTTCTCTCTTGTGTATTATCTTTATTGCCTTCCTTCAGCCTCAAATCTCTTGCCTGTCCAGGAAGATCTAAAGGCCAGCTCACCTGCTGGTGACTCTCATTGTGCAGTCATAAAGTGTGATAAAGTTAAGACCATAGTCACATAGTCCGTTCACTTCCCTTCAGATCTCCCTGGTCAAACATTAAGCAATGGGCCAGTCATGGTAGCAAATACTGCGGGATAATGGCCAGTATGACAATCCAGCCTTTCTAAACAGGGAACACAACTTGTGGTATCTTCTGAAAATTTCATTTTTAAGGTTAAAAAAAGGCAGAATTTATTAATCCAATTTATATAGCTGCCTATCTCACAAGAAGAAAAATATTAAGCAGGTAGAAGTATGCATATGAACTGTATTTCACTGATTCAGTTTAATAAATCAAACTGAAACTGAAACTTGATTAATTTTAAATCTGATTTTGGCCCTATCATTTTTGGTGTACAAACCCCCAACATACCACTCAAAAGCCAGGCTGGCCCTTGATCTAAAAAAAGGTTACCCATCCAGCCCTCCTCACCCTTCTAGCACTCATGTATTCTGATAAGCCCGCAAACAACAAGCACTGGCCAGTAAGCACCCACCTGCTGGGCCATATAACTGCGGACTTCCTGCAGCACATCAAGCATTTTGTAGGCATCAAATGTACGAAAAACCTGGATCCTCCGCAGTGCTTCAGCCTACAGGGAAATGGGGTAAGGAACAGGGTAAGGTAACAGATCCTGGATGCCCGTCAAGTTTTCATGCTCACCAGGATGAGGGTCAAAAAAAATCAAGAGGGTAGCCACAGTCATGTGACCTAAACATCACTCCCCCCCCCCCCACATCTTGGAGCCAACAGCAGCAAATTAGATTGTTGTGTTTTGTGTTCAGAGTTTATCTCAGAATATTGTTTTTAAACGAACTAATTTGAGGAGCCATTTTGGTCTAGTGATTATGGTATCAGCCTAGAACAGGGGTGTCAAACTCAAGGCCCAGGGGCCGGATCTGGCCCGTAGGGTGTTTAGATCTGGCCCTGCAGGGCCACCCTAGAAACAGCAAAGGACCAGCCCTCCCAGGCTGCGTTTTTGGCTGCGACGACCTCCTGCTGTCCTCCTAGGCTCCATTTATGGCTGCAGTGACCTCCTGCTGCCCTCTGCCAGTGAAACCGGAGTTCCATTTTCTCTTGAAGAGGGCAGCAGGAGGCCGTCACCACTGAAAACCGAGTTCATGAGCCCATTTTCGCTGGCAGTGCTCAGGCCACCAGATGCCCCTAACACAAGTGACATCAAGCTGGCCATACCCACCTTGGCCTCACCCACCCTGCCGCTAGGTCAAACACAACTCTGATGTGGCCCTCAATGAAATCGAGTTTGACACCCCTGGCCTAGGAGGAGTTCTAATCCTGCTTTAGGCATGAAAGCTGGCTGGGTGACTTTGGGTCAGTCATTCTTTCTCAATCCAACCCATTTCACAGGGTGGTTGTGGGGAAAATTGGAAGAGAAAGAAGTAATAGATATGTTTGCTAACTTGACTTATTTATTAAAAAAAAATAAAGGTGAGATAAAACAAATAAATAAATCATTCAATTCCATGTTAAATTATAGCATGAAGTGACCATGTATTTTCTTACTAATTTTCCTACATCTTGTATTTTCTAATATCCTTCTGGAGATGTCCAGAGACTCAACTCTCCTCAGTAGAAGATCCATCTTAATGCTATCCATTTATTTAATGTTGCTTTTGAGAACTCTGGGTGCGCTTCAAGGTTCTGGTTACCACCTTTAGAGCGCTCCATGGCTTAGGATCGGGGTATCTACGAGACCGCCTTCTGCCATCAATAGCCTCTCACCGACCAGTACACTCCCATAGAGAGGGTCTTCTCAGAGTGCCGTCGGTCAAACAATGTCAACTGGCGGCCCCCAGGGGAAAAGCCATCTCTGTGGGGGCACCTGCCATCTGGAACGAGCTCCCCCCGGAGATACGGAGGATCCCGGATCTGCGCACTTTCCGCCGCGCCCTCAAAACATTCCTATTCTAGCAGGCCGGTCTGGCCTAACCTCCCTTTTTAATTGCTTTTAAATTGGTTTTATAATTGGGGTGTTTTAAATCTGGCCTAAGTATTTAATGTATTTTAAATGGTTTTTAATGTTTGTATTATGTATATTTTACTTTTTTGGCTGTTCACCGCCCTGAGTCCTTCGGGAGTAGGGCAGTATATAAATTTAATTATAAATAAATAAATAAATAAATAAAATACCTATCAAGCACCTAGTATCAGTAAATGTTTAGGTTAGACTTGCCCATCTAAAACTCTATTGGGATTAAAAACTAAAAAAAACAGCGTGGTTTAGGGGTGGGAGAGGACTTTGAAGCCTATGGGGCATTTATTAACCTATGACTTTCCTCTCGAATATTCTAAACTGACTGGAGTACAATTCTTATAATCCTCACTGATTCAATACATTTTTGTTGAATGGAATTGCGGTTCAAAGCATTCAAAGAGCACTAGGTTGGAAAAGGCTTCTTCTTGGCAGAGATGAAATTCAAACTCAGAACTGTAGTGTTTGCTTCACAACATAGTCCTTTAACCATTATGCCATTCCGACACTCAGCATTTCAGTGCCGGCAGAAGGAGGCTTCCGAAACACTGTGAGATAAGCTCCATTCTGGTAATAGTTTGGAAGCCTCCTTCGCCAAATCATCTGATTTTTTTGAGATCAAAGCTTCCGAATGATCGCAAGAATGGTGCTTGTTTGCAGAATGGCACAAGACAACCTCAATAGGAAAGGGGTGTCAAACTCGATTTTATTGAGGACCGCATCAGGGTTGTGTTTGACCTTGGGGGGGCAGGGACATCATTCGTGTCAGGGACGCATGTGGCGGCCCAAGCACTCTGCCAGCGAAAACAGGATCCTGAGCTCTGTTTTCAGCTGCAATGGCTTCCAGCAATACCTTTGCCAGCAAAATGGAGCTCGTTTCGTTCCGTTTTCACTGGCAGAAGCACTGTGGGCCGGTCCTTTGCTGTTTCCAGGGCAGATCTAAGCACCCTGCGGGCTGGATTCAGCCCCCAGGCCTTGATTTTGACATCCCTGGTGTATAGCCTGGGCAGGCCTGTCAGCAGCTGCAAAATATCCACAAAGGTAAGTGGAGTGCTTTGTGCATGGTGGTGGGCCCTGTAACTGGTCAAGGCCCCCTGGGCCTGGTGGGATGGGGAACAGGCCTAGGCCTCTGGGCTCCAGCAACTTTTCTGTGCACAGGTAGGAAAAATGAGTGGCTAAGATGGGGGAGAGATGGTGTGTCCCTATGGCTGTAACTGGATGGACTTCCAAGATTGCAAATGCAAATCCACTGCAGCAATCAGCAGAATTAACCTGCAGTACTGCATTCTAACCACCACAGCCACCTAGATACTCTTCTAGGTACCAACACCAACACCGAACCAGTACTTTCTGCTCAGCTGACCTGCTCTTCCTCATCCGCAGTTAAGCAGTTCAGTAGCTCCAGTAGACGGGCACTGGTGAAGCCCCCAGTTGAGTCAATGTACAGGACAGTCTGCTTGAGATTATGGGATACATTTGCAGCGACAATGAGGCACAACTAAAGACACAATAAGAGGCAGAGTTTAAGATTAGTGTGTTTTCTGAAATTAGGATGCACAAAAGCAGCCTTTCATAGCCTACCCTTCCAAAAGTTTGAAAAAGGCCAGCAAATCACAAACTGGGACTTCAACTCCCAAGATTTGTCACAGATTATGAAACTTGAATTCGAGGAGCATGAAATGCCAGTCATTTTGGAATTCAGATAGCAAGATAAACCACAAAGTTAGAATACAGAGTTGCATACAAATGGAAACAAAATGAGACTGCATCCAAACACATTATCCAATATATTTAGCTGAATGAGTCATGCAAAAATTCCCCCAGGGTGAGCATCTACTTAGAAAATACCTACTTCCTTCAAATTCTCAAGCAGAAAGAAAGTTTTTCGAAGGCAAAGCTTGCTAGCACACAGACACGCATCATTAAGTAAAGATATAATAGGTTTTTTTGCTGCATGTAGTACACAGCAAAAAAAAAAATTTTTTTTCCTCATAAGCAATTTGATTTCTTAAAAGGAAAACCATTGTTCTCCTCCTTACAAGTAAAACCACACAGTTAATTTTTTACTGCACTTGGACTAATACTTGGACAGGCTGCTAAGAGTCAAGGAAAAACAACTTTCGGTTGGAAGTTACTCACACCCCACACAATTTACACACACACACCAAAAAAGAAAAAGCAATCACTGTGCTTTTCCCTTCCTGAATATATCCCACTGTAGCCAGTTACTATAGGAACAACATAATGTGGTTTGTTTTGGTTTAGGCTTATGATGATATAGATATAGAAACCCATAAAACTATGGATTGCTTAGCATGATATGTGAGCAAAGTCTAATTTTAAAAGGCAACCACCTAGCTTTGCTGCTTTCCTCTCTTTCTTTTCCATTCTTTTGTGTTTCATCTTCACCCTTCATATCTGATGTCTAAAGATTCTCTGGACAGAGTTTCGGGAAACCAAATCCAACATATCTACAGACAGCAGGTCAGGGATAACTGATGTTATAAGCTCAGAGGTAGAGACTGTGCCCCTTGTGATAAAAGTCATTCACAAAAGCTACTCCAAGAGACTTTGAGACTAAAAAAACAACCCCAGATGTTCTAATGCATTTATATAGAAAAAAAAAACCAAGTTACTATGATTTTGGGAACTGTGCCTAAAGATGCCTGCCAAATCAAGGATTTTGCTATTTTTAATCACGGTTTTTATTATCAAGGATTTTACTACAAGGTCCTGCTTCCACAGTCAGAAGGCTCCAGAAAACAGACAAGTTTTAAAGAGGGAGGAATGGATTGTTACAATGAATTTGTGTTTGTGGGCAAGCTCAGTTTGGGAATGTACCAAGCTGAGGGTGCAATGACCCACCAATGCCTTCCTCTACACCCAACACATCAAAGTTATTTGCCACTTGCAGAAAAACTTGGCTAAATAATCAGGCACAGAGAAAAATTCTTTGATCTATGTCTCAGGAGGGAGAAAATAATCAGGCATAATCAGAAACTATTAAAATATACAAAGCTCCTTCTTTAGCTGACTTCCATTGCAGTACATTCTTCAATTTGATAGAGGTCTTGCTGCCTTCAAGTGCAGTAGACAAAATTTCCTCAATACTAGTGATAAAAATGCCACTGGCAGTCTGATCAACTTCCCTACAAGGAAAAGGAAGGTATTATCTTGTCCTGAGGCTCAAAATGCCATACAGGTCAATCTTCTGGCAACCCCATCTCTGGATTTGTCCCTTTAAGAATAGGACACATTGGTTCAAATCCTGCCCTCCCACTTTCATGTAAGGTAAACCAATATCCCTTGTCAAAACTCCTACAGGGAGAGCCTAACTTTGACAACTTGTAGCAATGTTGGAACCATCTCCCACATAACCTTGCTTGTTGCAATGTACAAGCTCTCCACAGATATACATTACATCTTCTCATCGTTCCTATCACCCATCTCCTCCCACTTATGACTGTATGACTGTAACCTTGTTGCTGGTATTCTTACAATTTATATTGACTGTTCCCTAATATGGTTTATTGCTTATTTGTTCCCTATGACTATCACTAAGTGATGTACCTTATGATTCTTGACAAATGTATCTTTTCTTTTATGTACACTGAGAGCATATGCACCAAAGACAAATTTCTTGTGTGTCCAATCATACTTGGCCAATAAAGAATTCTATTCTATTCTATTCTATTCTATTCTATTCTATTCTATTCTATTCTATTCTATTCTATTCTATTCTATTCTATTCTATTCTATTTCTATTCTACCCTACCCTACCCTACCCTACCCTACCCTACCCTACCCTACCCTACCCTATTCTATTGCTACCATAAAGCAGAACAAACGTCAAAAACAGAAAAGTTATTTCCTGTAGGGTCTTTGAAAAGGAAAATCCACCAAAGTTGACAGTGGTTGAGTAAAACAGAATTTTCTTCATGATTTTAGAAATTCATATTGCATGTTTATGAGACTGTACTCTACCTAAAAGTCCAATGAAAAGGTAACAGACAAATAACCAAATAGGTCAAGAACAGCCAACCTGAGTTTTTCCAGCACTGGGTGCTCCAACAAGTTCTGTCACTTCCCCCGTGTATATACCCGAGTCGAGAAGTTTGTCCAAGCTATAACAAAAAAAAAAAAAAAGAGGTGGGGGGGAATGAGAATTTCAGGACATGTACATCCCAGTTTTCATCTTGCATTTTTTCACATATATCTCCCTCTCAAGTGTCTTCTCTCCTGAAGGACAAAAGAGCAGGCAGAGTAGAGTCTCTATTTAGGCTCAGGAATTCAATTTTCTGCTTGCCCAAAATAAAGAGAGGGTAAAGTAAACCAAAGAGTGATTACACTGCCAGTTTCATCTCTGGCAAGTCACAGTTTTCACAGCAGCTCATCTGCCCACTCAATCTTGCTCAATCCAGAAGCTTTCAAACACGTCAGGCTACAGCTCTTGTCATGCCCAACGACCATGGATGTCCTGACTATTCATTGTAGGCCAATCTTTCTACAAGCAATTGGGAAGGGGAAGACTGTCCTCTGCCATATTAAGAGGGGGGGAAACTGAACTTACAGCAAACTGAATGGATGGTTGATCTGGATAGAGAACTGATCCATAACAGGCAAGATACTGTTTAATGTACTTGGATCCATATTCAAAGATTCCTCAACCACAGAAAATTAATTGGGCAATTTAAGGTCAGTCGTTATCTCTCAGTTCACTTCCCTCACCTGGTTGTTCTATGGTTATTTATTTATTCATTACATTTATAACCTGCCTTTCCTAGAACCATCTTGAATTTCTGGAGGAAAGGTGAGATAGGCATCTAATAGAAAAACCAAGTATTGCCAGTTAATAAAGTATTGCTAACAATTGCTACCAACCTGCTTTCCATTGTGGACCTGTATACTGTATGAGTCAAAAAGAGGGCTGTGAAAATATTTACAGACCCCTCGTGTCCTGGACATAAACTGTTTCAACTCCTACCCTCAAAAGAACGCTACAGGGCACTGCACACCAGAACAACAAGACACAAGAACAGTTTTTTCCCATCACTCTGCTAAACAAATAATTCCCTCAACACTGTCAAACTATTTACTGAGTCTGCACTACTATTAATCTTCTCATCATTCCCACTACCCATCTCCTTCCACTTATGACTGTATGACTGTAACCTTGTTGCTTGTATCCTTACGATTTATATTGATATTGTTTCCTGATTGCTTATTTGTATCCTATAACTATCATTAAGTGTTGTACCTTATGATTCTTGACGAACGTATCTTTTCTTTTATGTAAAGAGAGCGTATGCACCAAGACAAATTCCTTGTGTGTCCAGTCACACTTGGCCAATAAAAAATTCTCTTCTCTTCTATTAAAGCACATGCTTATATTCATGGGATTGTTAATTCTCATTTTCTGCTCACTAAATTGAGCTCCTGCGTCTAATTAAATGGGTTAAACTCGATATGTCCAGAGTTGTAGAGACTCAGCTGCAGAGGTGCTATTCAGCCGATTTGGACCGGTTCACGCGAACCAGTAGCGGAAATCACAAGTAGGTAGCCCACCTACCTCGGCTCTATGCCGTCCTATTTAGGCAAGTTTTTGAGATTGGGCGCATGTGCATAAGGCACGCATGCAAGCAAAGCACATGGGCGGAAGGAGCACGGGGGCGCAAACCGGTGATAACAAAATGTGAAACCCACCGCTGCTCAGGTGGCATATAAATTTGATAAACTATTATTTGTCAAACACCCATTATGGAATATATACCTGTAAAACAGCAAATGATTACTTTTATTTTATTCTATTACTTTTATTCTTGCACTTCCTTTGAAAGAGCTGTAGTAGTGCAAGTGGTTAGAATGCAAGCGGATTCTGCCAATTGTCAGAGTTCAGTTCTCACAGGTTCAAGGTCAGTAAAACGAGGACCCAGTTTGTTGGAGGCAATAGGCTGACTCTGTAAACTGCTTAGAAGGGGCTGTAAAGCACTGTGAAGCTGTAAAAAGGTAAAGGTAAAGGTTTCCCTTGCACATATGTGTTAGTCATTCCCGACTCTAGGGGGCAGTGCTCATCTCCGTTTCAAAGTCGAAGAGTCAGTGCTGTCCAAAGATGTCTCTGTGGTCATGTGGCCGGCATGACTAAATGCCAAAGGCGCACAGAACACTGTTCCCTTCCCACCAAAGGTGGTCCTATTTTTCTACTTGCATTTTTTACATGGTTTCGAACTGCTAGGGACAAGTAACGGGAGCTCACCCTGTTACACGGTGCTAGGGATTCGAACGGCTGAACTGCCGACCTTTTGATTGACAAGCTCAGCATCTTAGCCGCTAAGCCACCGTGTCCCTTTGTGAAGCTATATATATAAGACTAAATGCTATTGCTATTGCTATTAAATTTCTATTTATTTATTGAACCTCTATACCACCTATCCTGCCAAGGCAATTCTAGGCAGCTTACTCACTCATTAAAAATAGCATATAAAACATTAAAAGAATAAAGATCACATAATTAACTTTCAGTTAAAATTCAATACATTTTCATTAATCTTTTATTAGTATAAGTGGTCCCTTTTCCCTGCCTTTGTTCTCACAATACACTATGAGAAAGAAGCCTAAGGAACATGGCCCGTGTCTCAGCTCATTCCTACTCCCCTCCTCAGTTAACAGCAGTGCTATCGTAACAGTTGACACCGTGATTGAGATGGCATGAACTGCTTATCCAGAATCAACTGCATCATGGCTAATTCCATTAGGAATAAGCCTAATTGGAGCTATACAGAAGGTGGGTGTACAGACCATTTGGGGTCCATACACAAACTGAGCCACAAGTTAGTGAACTACATTTTAACCTAGTATGATTTGTAAGCAATGGAGTGAAGTAAAACCTTGGTCTAGTTAACTGGAGTTAAATGGATGGTGAAAGTGCAGCCACTAGCTATATTCTGCTTTTAAAAAAAAAGCAATGGAAAACTGCTCTTGTACATTAACTCTGCAAGGATGTGGAACAATGCCCCCTGCATCTCTGTGGTGTAACCCTTATATATGTGAGCTTAAAAATTAATGGAGCAGGTATGTTTTAGATAAAAGGTTCCCCTCAGCATAACACGGTGTTCTGATTAATCACCCCTTGCCTTTCAATTCCAGTGGACAAGATGGCTGTGGTGTGCTTCAACTCTTCATAGAGATCTGCCCCATTGATTGGGAAGGAGGAAAACTGTGCCAGCAACACACGTCGTACCGCAACTAAGGTCTGTAACAGAAGATTATCAATCCTTTACCATCTGCAGCTTTAGCATTAACAACAAGGGACAAAACAACCAGTGGCTGGAGCAGTGTTTGTCAACTGTGGCAACTTCCTGATGTATGGAATCCAGAATTCTCCAGCCAGCATGGCCATTATTGAAAATTCTGGGAGTTAAAGTCCACACATCTGAAAGTCGTCAGAATCGGGAAACAGCTTGATGAACAAAAGGCCTTCTAGGCCAATATACAGGCCAATAAATTAGCATATCAATTAGTATAAGGGATACTGTTCTTCACTGTGCCCACCAAAGCTTCTTACCCACCTAATTAAAGCAAACATTTTAAATATTTATTTCCCCCCGTTTACTCTAGATAAAACAGGCCTCAGGCCTACAACTCAAACAGCTACAAGTCAGCATTGTACTGCTCAACAGCCAGCTGATCCTGAAAGAAAGAAAAAATTAAGGGGCATCTTAGAGGCTAAAAAGGGAAGAAGGGAGGAAGGGAGTCAAAGGGGTGACAGAATGTCAACTAATGCAGGAGTCCCCAACCTCAGGGCTGTGGCTTATTACTAGGCCTTGGCCTATTTGCAACTGGGCCGCATGAGAGGCAGGCCGGCGCATATGCGTGTGTGTCAGCTTGACTCACTCAAGTGGCAGGCCGGTGCACACACATACAGCTCGACTTGAGCAAGTGGCAGGCTGGCATACTTGTGCATGTGCCCCAGCCCGCTTTCCCTCTCTTCCCCAGCCAGGCTGCCAAGGTTGGGGACTACTAAACTACAGTATAATGAAGAAGAGGGGGAAAAAATCAGCACTATGCATTTAAAATTATACAGAAGGGGAAAAGAGATCCCCAAGTAATTTCTGATTAGCCAAGAAGCATTAGCTGCAAACTGTAATGACACCAAAAGAGAGTACATGGAGAGTGATACCGTTTCCCTGAAAATAAGACAGCCCCTGATAAAAAGCCCAATCACGCTTTTAAGCATGTGCTAAAATAAGCCGCCCCCGAATATAAGCCCTCCCTGAAAATAAGCCCTCCCCAAAAATATTTAAACACATGCACAGCTGGTCCCCACCATTTCTGCTGATTAGGGTTAGGAAGACAGAGCTGGAAATCAGGTACGATGGCAAGAGGAGCCCCGTCTTGCTCCACGCACCCCAAAATAATAAGACCTCCTTGAAAATAAGGCCAAACGCTTATTTCAGGGTTCAAAAAATATAAGACAGGGTCTTATTTTCGAGGAAACATGGTATTTATCTGCCACAATTGACCACACTTGCTGATTGCATCATCATTGGCCCCCTTAAACCTCTTCATGAAGCTTAGGTCTGAGAGAGTTGATTATAAAATGGATAGCTGTACAGTACAAAAGTTAATAGTTTTTATAAACCCAGGTTACTTTTTTGAGTCTCTAACATGTTCACAGCCCTAAAGATGGAAACCCCTTAAATATCAACTCATAGATCAGTCTATATAAAACCAATCACAGAAATGATTTCAGGAGTTTTCTCATTTTTTTTTCAAGTTCTACAAAACAAATATAAATATTCCTCCAATCACAATGAAATCTCAGGGGATATTTCTTTGTTTCTTGTTTTATTAGGACTTGATTAGTCAGAACTAAGCAACATTTTGTGTGGTGAAATATGTAATAATAATCTCTAGGGACTCCTTGTACTCGCCTTGTATGATAAGGAATTCTTCTGGGCAATGTCCTCCAGATCCGATGAGACAAGATCAACCACTACAAAACATTTGGGAAGATAGAGAAAAGGAGATGAAAAATAGGAAAAAGCTTCAGCTGCAATGTAATTTTAATAAAAAAATTTATATAAACTTTAAAAACTTCAGAAACATAAAAATAGAAAAACAATAAGTAAATATGAAATAATGAAAGAAAATGTAAGCAATAAAAGAAGCAACTTCTGATCGTCTTTACAAAAGTTAGAAACATAGTAACTGCAATCTTCAACTTCCCAAATTACATATTGTAGTTTCCTTCTTCCTTCTTCAATGCTTTTGAATCAATAAATCCCCAATTTATTTTTATCTATTTTCAGCAAAAAGCCCTCCTGTTGTACACTAGACAGGAGACATGACAAGATAAACTACCGGTAATTCTACTTTATTGTAAAGCTACATTAACCAGCCTCCACTTTTAACTTCTTGATTCATTAGAGCAGATCTTTCCTAAGTCCCCCCCCCCTCTGATGAAGGGCTCATCATCATCACTGAAACGACTATGGGCTCCTGCCTCTCATCTGGTTGTTTCCTAGGCTGCATCTCCTCTCTTTCCCCAAGGTCATCCACACTTTCCATTTATAAAAGTCATTTTGTTCCCTCCTTGATCAACCTATCCCATCACAGCTCTGAGTCCTTATCTCTTCCCTTAACCTCACCCTGATCATTCTTCCAACCACATTACACTTGCTAGCAACACAAAAAAATACATTGGGAAGAGATTACTGGATTCTCTGAAGGATCTGCTCTGCTCACTATAACCAATGTAACCCCTAAATTGTGGGAATCAGCTACCTGTTTTGATGCCATTGGCTTTTAGCACCTGCACCATTTCATCCGAGAGGCCAGGACACAGCCCCACACGAAGGATCATCCCTGGAATGAGCCTAGATAGAAAAGGCAGACAGTTGGATCATTTCCAACACATTAGTGAGATCTGCTAGTTTATTTCACCTATGTCCCCAGAATCACATCCCTTGTCTTGTAGGAATGACATAAGGGCTTTGCTTTGCTTTGATACACACAACACAGAAACAGTACTTTACCCAACAATGCATTACTGTATAAAACTTTATGCAGACATCTAAAGAAGTGAATTAAAGTTGGAGGAGAGTGTCCAAATAGGTGGACAACGATCTTTGAAATTATTTGCATTCCAGAGCTTGTAGCACTTATGAGAAACAAAACTATTATGCATTATCAATTGAATTGGTATGTCTAGATATATTTATTTTATGTTCAGTTTCTGATTAAGAAAACATTATGGAAGCCTGCTTTGACCTATAATTCTCTTTCTTCACATGACCAACTGTAATAAGTATTAAGTTTGATGAGAACATGAAGGATCAAGATGAATATATGTTATCAAAAAGTCAGAATAATTGTTCAGTTTCTTATTGGTGAGGGGGAGCTTATAGTAAATTAAACATGAGATATGCTTTTAAATATGAATTTTATTCTTCCAATTAATAAAGCCTCTTGATAAAAAAAACTAACACACAAATCTTAAGATATAGCTAGGTTCACAAAATGGACCTGTCTTAATTAAAAGTGATGGGGTTTGCTCAGCTTATTGTTGGAACCCAGTCATTTCCTTAGCAAAAGATGCTAACGAGACTGTCACATTAAAGCAGAATTGGCTTGGTTAGGATCATTTATATTACTGAGCTGCTGATCCCGTTCTACAGAGGAATTATTGAGTCTGTCATCTGTCTGGTTTGGTTCTGCAACCCAACAAGACAGACAGAAACTTCAAAGGATAATTAGAACTGCAGGAAAAACAATGGCTACCAACCTGCCTTCCATTGAGGACCTGTATACTGCACGAGTCAAAAAGAGGGCTGTGAAAATATCTACAGACCCCTCATATTCTGGACATAAACTGTTTCAACTCCTACCCTCAAAACGACGCTATAGAGCATTGCACACCAGAACAACTAGATACAAGAAGAGTTTTTTCCCGAACGCCATCACTCTGCTAAACAAATAATTCCCTCAACACTGTCAAACTATTCACTACGTCTGCATTACTATTAATCTTCTCATCGTTCCTATCACCCATCTCCTCCCACTTATGACTGTATGACTGTTGCTGGTATCCTTAAGATTTATATTGACTGTTTCCCTATGACTATCATTAAGTGTTGTACCCTTATGATTTTTGATGAATGTATCTTGTCTTTTTATGTACACTGAGAGCATATGCACCAGAGACAAATTCCTTGTATGTCTAATCACATTTGGCCAATAAAGAATTCTATTCTATTCTATTCTATTTTCCGGGTCTCGCTTCCTTAATTCCTTTGAACCACTTGCTAGCACAATTGCAGCAGCATCGCATAGAAACAGCATGAAACATTTAATGGTAGCTAACTAATTCCTCCCCCGCCCCCCCCCCATTACCACTTTATGCAAGAGCTGCATGAAAGAGAAAAAGCACGCAGCAACATTAAGTCAAAGGAAATATTTACCTAACTTGACTTCAGAGGCAAATAAGCCCCAACCCTTTTTTTTTCCTTCCCCGCAGCTCCCAACTCACTTATCAACGCTTCACTTTCCCCGCCGTTTTCTTTATTTTGATTCCTTCCTAGAGCGATCACTGCTCCACGTCCTGTTTAGCTCCACCTACTGGCTGGACCCTGAACTTACGCTTCCAATTCCACTTAACTCTACAACGAACTCATTTAGATCTCCAGATTTCCTTGGAAGTGCGTCTGGTTTTTGATATACGTATATAATTATATAATTATATTTAATACTTTACAATATCATATTTAAATATAATGTTTGAGCAGGTGTGTGTATATGGCTGGATGGATATCTTCGTATATGAAGAACGGCTGCAGATTTTGGGTCTGGCTTAGTCTAAAGAAAAGAAGAATTAGGGGTGACATGATAGCAGTGTTTCAGTATTGGGGGGGAGGGGCTTGCCACAAAGAAGAGAGGATCAAATTATTTTCCAAAGCACCAGAAACTGATCAAAGAGAGAAGCAACCTGGAATTAAGGAGAAACTTCCTAAGAGTAAGGACAATTAACCAGTGGAACAGCTTGCCTTCAGAAATCGTGGGTGCTCCATCACTGGAGGTTTTTAAGAAGAAACTGGAGAGTCACTTGTCTGAGATGGTATAGGTTCTCCTGCTTGAGCAGGGGGCTGGACTAGAAGACCTCTAAGGCCCCTTCCAACTCTAATCTAGTCTAGTCTAGTCTACAGTATATATTGTCCATATCATCATTCAATGGTTATTAACACTGTTAATAAAAGCTGATCAATTTCCCATCAGTCAGACTAATTTATTCCTTTACTTTCTCATAGTATATAGCTTGAATTTAAGACAAAAGGGTTTATTTTTTGCTGAGGTGTTTTTGTTGCTTGTTTTGTTTTTTGGAATGTCATTTCTGAATATAATTTCTGATAGGGGTGGTGAGTTCTGGAAGTTACTAGAGATGCCCTGTCTGTCACAGCTGCTGCTGGATCTCTCCAAGGATTCTGGAGTGAAGCCATTTGTTCCAGAGTTTCAAATGTCTCATTCTTCCTTAAATAGAAAGGGAAGAGGGGCTTGTACATTTTGGCAGGGTGGGCAAAGCACCATAGCTATTGCATTATTGCCTTGAAAAGCTCCAGTGTTGAACTTTGCCAAAGGCTGATGCAAAATTTGGAGGTGAGGTTTTGTGAATTTTTTAATTGCGTTGTTTATGCCCAATTGCAAACCGTCCGATTTATCTGGAAATTAGCCTCTCACCCCTGAGGTTCTTGCTCACTGTGCTTTGTCCTTGTCTCTCAACTATTTCATTGAGCTATATATATACCTCTGTCTAAACTCCAGGCAGCCACACTTACCAACTTGCTCCAAGAGTGAGAGAGCGAGAGAGAGAGAGCGCGGTTAAGTGATCCACAAGAAAAAAAATCCAAGTTGGTGATTATTTCAAGAATCGGGAAACTGTGCAAGGTAAGGAAAGGGAAGCATAAATGGGGATTTAATAGCAAACAGGATGGCGAAATATCCAATAGCAAAACCCAAGGGAATATTTTGCTTGAATGCCACGGATTATTACAAATGTGCATTTGTGTGTATGTACTGTGATTGGACTTTTTTCCTTCTCATCAGATGATTGGGACAATTCCCAAAGGCATCTAAAAAATATAGAGGGTGTGTAGATATTTTTGGTTTGCAACTAAGACAATAAAGATTATCAATGTGTGGCCAGAAATATGAAGATTGAAACCAATAAAGCAGTGGATTTATTGGTACTGGAATGGGATCAGAGAAATTCAGTTTAACCAGTTTGATTCTTTGGGTCAATCAGTGTTACGTAGTAACTTCACAGGATTCTGGTGAACATAAGGTAAAAGAAGATTATTTGAATATGATAATCCATTTCTGAAAATAACACTTACTGTTTATTTAATGAGAGCCAGCCTGATAATAGCAGCTAAAGGTACTGAGTTAACAACCAGGAGACTGTGAGATCTATTCCCACCTTAACCACAAAGTCAGCTGGGTTACTTGGTTCAGTCCTTCTCTTTCATCCCTAAAAAGAAACAAAGCAAAGATGAACCACTTCTGGAAAATGTTGCCAAAAAACTTCAGGGACCAGAAATCAAGCATGAAAAAAATGTTGATTTATAGGATTCATAAATTTTTATCAATAAATGGTCCTCATAAATATATGAAGATATACCATAGGCTGTCTTCAAATTAAAATCTACTACTTTAGATACATGAATTATATATAATTATATATAAATGATGTCCAAACATAATTAAGAATTTATTGATGAAGATGGATGAGAAGTATGAAAGAGATGCAAAGTTAGGTTTATTTTACAAAGTGATATGGGTAAAGTACAGGTAGTCTTTGACTTACAACCAGAATTGCACCCAAAATTTCTGTTGCTAAGTGAGGCAGTTGTTAAGTGGGTTTTGTCCCATTTTATGACCTTTCTTGCAACAGTTGTTAAGTGAGTCACTACAGTTGTTAAATTAGTAACACGGTTGTTAAGTAAATCTGGCTTCCCTGTTGACTCGCAAAAGGTGATCATATGACTCCGGATACTGCAACCGTCATAAATATGAGCCAGTTGCCAAGCATCCTAATTTTGATCACATGACCATGAGGATTCTGCAACGATCATAAGTGTGAAAAATGGTCATAAGTAACTTTTTTCAGTGTTGTAACTTCAAACAGTCACTAAATGAATGGTTGTAAGTCAAGGACTACCTGTAACAAAAAATGCCAAACAATGTTGTTGTGAATGATGAAGTTATTAGGAATTCTTAGAATGAAAGCCTACTAGTGAGTGTTGTTGCCCACGGTACAACAAAACAAATAAGGGGTAAATTGATTGCTTCCCAACTGGGACTTCCCAGATGTTTCAAAGTGCAGCCACTGTCTTCTCAGCCAAGAGAAAGGAAGGCTGTCCAGGCTATGAATCTGGCAAACCAAATTAACTCAAGATATTCTGATGTGAACTGTATGGGAAATTGAGATGTTGGGTAGTTTTGGCTCTTTTTCTGCAATTTGTTTGAAATTGAGAAATTAAGGTAAAACTACTTTTTAAAAAAATCCAGACCATCACAAGATGGCAACAGATAATTATATAGCTTGTTGCTGCCAACTAGTAGCCATCTGGATTAGTGCAGTCCAGATCAAGTAATTCAATTATGGAGCCACAGTCTCACGGGTGTCACTCAATCGCGACATGTGATATATCACAGCATTTTTTGCCTTTGCGGAGCCAGGGTGGGCGTGGCCTGCACATGATGCATCCGGCCCACAGGCCGCCAGATTGACACCACCCTCAAAATACTCCCACCATGAAATTTGGCCCTGTCCATTTTGAAGAACATTCCACGCAAATCATGAGGCACTTTTTTATAAATCCCCACAACAGAAGAATGGATGAAAAAAGTGATAGAACTAGCAGAGATGGGAAATAGACTGTTTTAATTAGACAGAAGAAATCCAGTTTTATTTCTATTGGACTTTGTACTTGAGACCGAAAAAAACAAAACAAAATATTGACTTTGGGTTTTGCTGATTAATTTAGTTCTGATAGAATTGACTAATACTTGTTAAATTAGTAAAATAAAAAGTAGAGACTGGCAATTCTATTTTGTACTTTGCTGAAAAAAAAGTTGGAAGTCAATGCTTTTTTTAAATTTCCCCTTTTATCCTACAACTCTTTTTCCCTTTTCTTTCCCTTCCCCATTTTCCTATTATTTTTCTTTTCATTTGTATTTTATATCAATAAACTTAATAAAATTCTTGGTGTAGCCCTCAATCTGACAGAGATTGCATTGCCAAATTTAGGACTTTGGTCCTTATGGCTGATTATATTCCAATCTGAGATTGCTTCTTTATATACATGTTTATTACTTGAATTTTATCCAGAGATAATCTAGAACTGAGAAACCTGGTCTGATTTTCTCTAAAAGTCCTAATGGTGTTCAACCAGGAGTGAAATCCAGCAGGTTCTGATAGGTTCTGGAGAACTGGTAGCGGAAATTTTGAGCAGTTCAGAGAACTGGCAGCAGAAATTTTGAGTAGTTTGGAGAATTGGCAAATACAACTTCTTTTTTTTATATATATAATTTTTATTAATATATTCTATACACTAATACACAAATAAAATATACAATCCTGCCACCATGGTATAATATGATTACATTGTCCATAAGTATAAAATCATTCCTTTATACATACATATTTGCCATCATATATATACATCATCATATGTCTATTCTATCCCACCTTTTCTGGACCCAATCGTACCATACTTTCCAACTGTTATAAAATTCTGAATCTTTTTTACCATTGATCAATCTAGTTAGTCTATCTGATTCCGCACACTCATTAATTTTATATATTATTTTCAAATCTATCGGTAAGTATTGATTTTTCCACTCCTGCGCATACGCTAATCTTGCTGCAGTGATAATGTGAATCAACAAGAACCATATATCTGACTTAACATTCAAAGGTTTTGCCCCCAATAGGAAAATCTCAGGTCTTAATTCCAAATTAATCTGTGTAATTTCCAAAATCCATTGCCGTATTTTTTTCCAATATTTAACCGCCTGCGGGCAGGTCCACCATTGGTGAAAATAGGTTCCATTGCTGTAACCACACTTCCAACAGCAGGCAGATGTCCCGGGAAACATTTTAGCTAATCTCGCCGGGGGTAGATGCCACCGGTAGATCATTTTATATATGTTTTCTTTATATGAGGAGGCCATGGTTAATTTCATATTTTTCAACCAAATCTGTTCCCATTGCTGGAAGTCAAGGGGATATCCAAAATTTCGCCCCCATGCTATCATACAATCCTTCACTACATCCTGTCCTATCTGCAGAGACAATAAATATGCATAACATTTAGATAATATCCCTTTCCCTCCTTCTAATAAGATCTTATCCAATTCTTGTCTTTTACTGTAGATTCCTTCACTATGTAAATCTTTTTTATACCTGGAGTACACTTGCGAATAAGACCACCAGTCTATCTTATATCCTTGAAGAGTTAATAATTCTCGTGACTTTGGATTACCCTGAACATCCAAGAATCCTTCATACGTCAAGGTTTTCTCCCCTTTATACAATGTCGGGTAAACCTGAGCTTCCTGCGCCGAAATCCAACATGGAACTTTTGTATATACTCTTCTTCTAACCTTTTCCCAAGTGTACCCAAGCGTCCTACGTAAATAGTGATCATCAAAGTGTCTAGGACGGCCGGATGCTCCCGGCCATAGAAAATAGTGCCAGCCATGTTGAAGACCGGCTCCCTCAAATGTCAAAAGTCGTCTCTTTTGTAGGACCATCCATTCCTTCACCCAAATCAAGTTCGCTGCTTGGTGATAGAGCTCCCAATTTGGGAGTCCAAATCCTCCTCTATTTTTGGGTTCTTGTAACATTTTAAGTCTAATCCGCGGCCTCTTTCCCTGCCAGATAAATTTAGATATACTCCTATCCAAATTTGTAAAAAACTCTTTATTCAACCTTACCGGGGCTGTTTGGAATAGAAATAACCATTTGGGTAACACGCACATCTTAATGGTTGCCACCCTTCCCAAAATTGATAGCTGGAGATTTTTCCATCTTTCTAAGTCTCTGAGCATCTGGCTGTAAAGAGGAAGATAGTTATCCTCCTTTATGGAGGAACATCTGGCGGTCAACCATATACCCAGATACTTAATTTTATTTGTTATTCTTAAGCCCATTAACTGCTCCAGATGTTGCCTTTGCATCTGAGTCATATTTTTCACTAGGATTTTAGTTTTTTCTTCATTCATCTTTAACCCCGCTACCTTCCCATACTCTCTAATCAAGCATAATAATTTCAGGCCCGAGTCCAGTGGTTGATCCAAGATAAATACAAGATCGTCTGCATAAGCCTGAACTTTAACTTCCTCCTGCCTAATCTTCATTCCTCTTACTTCCGTGTTTCCTCTCACTTCTCTAAGCAGGGGCTCTAAAGTTAATACAAATAGCAATGGGGAAAGGGGACATCCCTGTCTTGTACCTCTACGAATTTGAATTCTCTCCGTCTCCTCTCCATCTATGAGAACTCTTGCAGTCTGCTCCCGGTAGATAGCTCGAATTGCCCGAATAAAATTCCCACCAAACTCCATATATTCCAATTGAGAAATCATAAATTCCCAACTGATTCTGTCAAATGCCTTTTGGGCGTCAACAAAAATTAGGGCTAATTGTTTATCCGGGCGATTTTCGAAAAATTCTAATGTATTCATGATAATTCTAAGATTATCTCGTAGATATCTATTAGGAAGGAAGCCGTTTTGGTCTGAGTGAATGAATTGGTTAAGGAAGCAGCTAAGCCTAGCTGCAAGAACCCCCGCAAATATCTTATAATCGGAGTTTAGTAATGATATTGGCCTATAGTTCTTAATAAGAGATAGATCAGTTCCTTCTTTTGGGATAATAGAAATATAAGCCTCAGTCCAAGATACTGGAACCTGAGCCTCTTTCATAACCGCATTGAATAAATCCGTCATGTGTCTTCCTATCACGTCAAACACTATTTTGTATAATTCAACTGGAAGGCCATCTCTACCCGGGGTTTTGCCATTCGCCTGTGCTTTCATAACTGTTTCTACTTCCTCCATCGTAAATTCTGCATTAAGAATTTCCTTCATTGTTTCCGAGACTTTAGGCAGGTCTGTCTTTTCCAAATATTTCCGAATTTCACAGATATTTTCCTCTTCTTTCTGATAAAGCTGTGTGAAAAAATCCTGAGCTACCATTCTCTTGCCTTCCTTAGTACAATGGAAATTCCCAATTACATCTTTCAGCCCTTCTATTCTCCGTTGTTCCTGCTCCTTTCTAAGCCGGCAAATAAAACTTCTGACTGGCCTCAGAGTGGGATGAGAATAGAGATTTTGCAATATCCTTCCCTCAGGAGTGGGGAGGGAATGGAGATTTTGCAGTATCCTTCCCCTGCCATGCCCTCCAAGCCACGCCCACCAAGCCACACCACACCCACCAAGCCATGCCCACAGAACTGCTGGTAAAAAAAATTGGATTTCACCAATGTGTTCAACCGATTTTTACAGGCGGTTTTGGTCTTCTACTTAGAATCACTTCACCTTCTAGCTATTCCTCGCATGTTTTCCCTTCCTCCACCCCACAGAAAATCTTAAGAAAAAAAAGACAGAATAGCTTCTTTTTTTGGTCTTTTCCTTAGTGGTGACAGGGCCATGTGACTAGAGACATCCCTTAAAAAGGCCTATTTGTTTCTTTTCTAGATGGAGGACCCTGTGCAGCTGAAGGAAGAAGGGAATAAGTTCTTTCAAGGCAATGATTACGAGAATGCTATTAAAAGCTACTCCAAAGCACTTAAACTTACTAAAGATCCATCACTCCAGGCTGTGTTATATCGAAACCGAGCAGCATGCTTTCTGAAAAAGGTAAGGAAATGTTATGGGGAGGTGAGGGAAGACTCTTGAAATGCAGATAAAGAGTGTCAGAAAAGTCAACTATCCACAATGTCTCGCCTCTAGGAGACAAGCCATATGATATCAAAATGGTACATCTATCTATCCTCCTAGTGTCATTATCTCCCAAGAGAATCCAAAGGCTGCACAAACTTTTAGTGGTTTGCCAAGATCTCGTGAGATTTTTGACAACTTCTCATGAGAATTCGTGAGATTCAAGAGTTCTTTTTCCACTTGATATTGGATGTCACAATGGCAGTTTATTATTTAGCTTATGATGAGAACCTGACAGAAGATAAATAAACATATACACATAATCCATGCAATTGTCCCAAAGGTGCTTTTTTAAGAGGCAACTGGACTTTCTGGTTTTTCTTTGAAGACGTTTCGCTTCTCATCCAAGAAGCTTCTTCAGCTCTGAGCTGAATGGATGAGAAGCAAAACGTCTTCAAAGAAAAACCAGAAAGTCCAATTGTCTCTTGAAAAAGCACCTTTGGGACAACCATGACCTGGATGATTGAGAATCTCCATAAATCCATGCAATTATATAAAAAACAGCAGTGCTCACTAGGGATTCAGACAGTTGAAGTCCAACACATCTAGAGGGTTAGGGTTGTGACAGTTATTTGGCAATATATTTGAAAAACAGAACCATCCAACTGGAAGGTATCTTAGATGCCATCTAGACCATGTCCTATTGTATTATATTTTTATGTCAGCTCTTCAGGATTATTTGAAAAGCCATCTTTTCCCAATTATACCTACCCAAGCCATCAGAGTGGGGAGGCAAGAAATGTTACAGGTCCCTTCTCTTAAAGAGGTCCAGAAGTCTTCTCTGTGGTGGCTCCTCCCTATGGAACATCATCCCTGTGGAAATAAGATTGCCCCCCACTTTGCTACTCTTTCAAAAAGCCCTGAAAACATGGTTCTGCTGATGGACCGGGGGACCCCAGGTCGATATGGAGCCCATCAAGTAATAGGTTTGATTGTTGTCATCAGGAGGGTGGAGGTTTATTGATTTTTGTATTGGGGTTTTATTTTTGTAAGCCACCCGAAGTCACTGTGAGTGAGTTGGGTAGCCATATAAATTTTCTAAATAAATAAACAGCAGACTAGCAAAACCAAAGACATGCAAGCCGAAACTACTTTTATTGTAAAGCTTCAGGAACAGAATCTTGCAAGTCTGAATGCATTTCTTCCACATCTTCTCTTTGTTTTGGGGTGAACTATTTATGTTAGATTTCTGACCTGTATTCCCATTTCTTTTATCTGATTGCCTTGGCAATGGCTGTTTCTTCTAACCCTCAAGGCCATTCCATCTTCCCTCTACATTTACATATTAAACTTTGTTTATAAAAATCATCACCTATAAAAATTAAAGATGGTAATTACTTTTAAAAGCAGCGTTCACCATCCTATGCATTGGAGAAATTCCTCCTTACAACCAGATCCCTTCTGGGACTCAGGCATCATCTCAAAACAGAACAAAAGCTGGCTAATGATTTTAACACAATTCATCTTTTTAATATATGTTTAACCACTGAATTAATCAGCTGACTAAAACAGTTGCAGCATAATTCTGTGAAGATTTTTTTAATGTAAATTATATACTTTATTTAGCCGTGAATAAACCCTGTAAAAGAATATTTAATGCTGAGTGAAGGTGCTTACACAGGTACTCTAAATCAGGAGATTTGTTTCTAAGTTGCTACATTCTGTACTAATTTATTTGACTTCAAGGAGCAGCTACAGAATTATCTATCTGAGCTCTTCACCAAATTTTCTTCTCATTCCATTCTATGACCATTTCATTTGTTTTTATCTCTTGATATCAATCATCCATTTAATCATTTTGGAAACTAACAGAAAGCTGGTTAGCTGGTCTGTTTAAAAAATGAATAAACATAAAAAGGATTCTCTTATATAGATACTGAAAATGATTGATCTGTTAGGCAGTTGACTTTCAAGAAATAAAATTGATGAAATGCGAAGACTGGAGAGGGGGAAAGAATTTGGTTCATATCAAACTAAAATGAACATCCCATGAGCAACCTTCTTAATCACTAATAAAAATTCCTTTTTCTTTGAAAAATATAGGAGAAATATGCCCAAGTGACTACAGATGCAACTAAAGGTAACTTAAACTATGGCTAAAATATTCTAGATGCTTCATTAGGATTTGGATATATCCAGTAGCGTTTTAATCAATCCTTTGAAGCTCCTGCTGGGGCTTCATGAATCCAAGTGAAAAGATAAGTGTCTACACTGTATAATACAATAATTTATAGTGCAATTTAAGAGAGCCCCGCCTTATATAATCAACATTAAATGGCCATCTTAGGATGTTTACTCCTTTGATTTTTAATTTATCATTAGTCTATAATTTTAAAATGTTTAGTCCTAATTTACTTTTAATGTTAATTTTATATGTTTTTTTTTAATCAATTGTAATAGATGGTACACTGCCCAGGGTCCCTCTTTGAGGCAGATGGGTAGTTTAAAAATATGAAATATAAATAAATACAAAAACTTAATGTCCACCGGTAGTAGACTATTTCGTACTCAAATGCACAAATTTCTTTTGTTTTGCTTTGCACTGGGACTTTGCTTATCATGCCCAAAATAGGGGCCAGGTTGAAGAAATAATATAACTTAAATTTGGCTTACAGTATATTTGGTCTCAAAAGCTGGCAACACATGGGCTGGGAAGCCAAGCAGGGAAATATAATTCATATTATATACCTTTAAATACAATTAATATGGTTGCTGTTTATTTCATAATTTACTGTCACTTAACACTATAATTTGGTGGCAATTTTGGAAGGACTCCTGGGAACACACCCAAAGCTTTGAGAGTCACATGTAGCAGGATCCAATCTGGGTCAGCCACCGGGACCAGAGGTTTTGTCTTCTGAGCTTTCGGACTTGTGGTGGAGCCCATCTTCAGGGAACTTCTCTCTAGCAGGCGCCAGCATGAGTCTGAAAGCTCGGAAGACAAAACATCTGGTTTCGGTGACCAACCCAGATTGGATCCTCCAACATTATCCTGGGACAGGTATATTGGCCTTCATTTGTGAGTCAAATGTAGGCTTGGGACCTGTATCCTCTTGATCTAAGAGGTCACCTGTCTTGCTATGAACTTAATAATTAATATTTGCTGATATTTATCTTAAAGTAAGAAAAGAAAACCAGTTGGTTCTGTTCTTCCCATTTGTTACATACATTTCTGCACCCTATAGAAATATTGTACTGTACTTGAATAGAAAAAAAGTAACAAATGAGATAGAAATAGATGGAACAAGAAGAAAAGACAGATGCAACTCTTCTCTGGGTCAAAGTGGATGCTGTCAGGTATCATTTCAATGTTTTCATTATTTTCCTTCTAGCTATTGACATCAACCCTTCTGATATTAAGGCTTTATACCGACGTAGTCAGGCCCTGGAGAAACTTGGAAAGCTGGATCAGGCCTTCAAAGATGTCCAGAGGTGTGCCACCATTGAACCTCGGAACCAAAGTTTTCAAGAGACCCTTCGACGTCTGGGCATTACTATCCAAGAGAAGGTAAATGAACGGCAGGCTTGACACACTGATCAGCCAACTGATCAGACCATTTCTCTCTTGCGTTGGAGGTGGATGTGTTCTGTATGTGGATGTGAGCTCTTGGATCATGATTGCAAAGCACTGCGACCGCTGGAAATTCAAGTTGTAAGGACCATTCATTCAGCACTATTGCAAGTTGGAATGGTTGCTGAACAAGTGTTCATTAAATGAGGACCAACTATTGTATATCCCAGTCAGGGTTAATAGAGCAAACTATCATATGTAAACAGTTAGCAACTTCCTTATCACATCCACTGGTGATGTTACTGAGCCCATGATGAAAAGTCTGCAAGAGAAAAAGCTAACTCGGAGATCACCAAGAACCCAACAAAAATTAAATAATAATCTCTGTCCTTTTCTTCATTTTTGACATAGTTACGTTTTCAATTCTCCACTGATGCCAGAGTGCAGCAAATGTTTGAAATCCTCCTGGATGAAAAGAGTGAGAAAGAGAAGCGAGAGAAGGTGAGATTCCTTAACGTGAACTGTTTCTTTGTCTTCATTTGACTAAGAAATTGCATTCCCCCCCCCCCATTCTTCTGCTAATTGGCTAGAGGGGAAGCCCTAGTTGACATGCATTGCTCTCTGCCTCTAGTCAGAAATCTAAGGCAACCAGAGTGAACAAAATCACATAGTGTACACAATAAAGAGGGTGACCTAGACAGAAGTAATTAAGATCCATTACCAAAACAATAAGGCACAAAACATGGCTTAGCCTAAGTCATCCAGAAGGCATGGAAAACATTCAGACAGATACCTCTCTAATTCAAAAAAGTATAAGGCAGAGCTAGGGATGCACTGGCTCAGTGGCTAAGACACTGAGCTTGTCAATCAAAAGGTTGGCAGTTTAGTGGTTCGAATCCCTAGTGCCACATAACAGGGTGAGCTCCTGTTACTTGTCCCAGCTTCTGTCAACCTAGCAGTTCGAAAGCACATAAAAAATGCAAGTAGAAAAATAGGGACCACCTTTGGTGGGAAGGTAACAGCATTCCATGCATCTTTGGTGTTTAGTCATGACGGCCACATGACCACGGAGACATCTTTGGACAGCGCTGGCTCTTTGGCTTTGAAACGGAGATGAGCACCACCCCCTAGAGTCGGGAACGACTAGCACATATGTGCGAGGGGAACCTTTATCTTTACCTATATGGCAGAGCTAAAGTATTGTCAGACTTGCAAGATTCTGTTACTAATAAAAAGTATTTTAATTTTCTGGTGACGTTGATTTCTTAATCTTGTCTACACTGTTCGTAGGCCGCTTCAAAATAGTTTACAGAAACTGAGGAACGGGAGCAGGGAAATTCAGATCATGTAGAAACATTGGATGACTTGGGCATATAAGTCTTTTTCAACCTCACATACCTTATATGATTATTATGGGCTTCAAATTGGAGGAAGTGTTATACCCACTTGAGCTCCAAACTAAGCATTCATTCAATAATATGAAATAGTGATAAGTCATCTGCATTTATGGTCCTGCTGTTTCTTTGGCTGTCTTTTTAAAATCAGGCTGCAAACAACCTCATTGTTCTTGGCCGAGAAGAAGCAGGAGCAGAGAGGATATTCCAGAATAATGGCTTGAATTTGCTTTTGAAGCTAATAGAAACTAAAAATCCTGAGCTGATCCTGGCAGCAACAAGGACCTTTTCAGGGATGTGCACAAGACACATGGCACGGGTAAGAGAGGAACATGTCTTGAAATCTGCTGTTGCATGAATGGCTTCAGGTCAACAGGAAGAAGACAAAACAAAAAAAAATGTTGCAGAGCACCCATGGTGTTATGCCCACCATCTTGACTTTTTTTTAACCCTTATGGATGCCTGAGTCTCCTAGAAGCATTATAAAGAATGTATCTACAAATAAAATTTGCTCCCACTGCATAATATGTGGGCAAAAATATCAGGTCAGACAGCACCTTTTCATGATTTGCCTTTTATTGATATTGTTCTGACCTAGGCTTCCTGAGAAAGCATAAATCACAAGTTTAGTCCCAAAAAACCTCTTTTATTGAGACGGCTGTGAATTATGGTCATTCACAGGCCATAATGATTCACAAACAGTCTGTGAAGATTCTGACAGATGTCTGCTTGAGTTGACACAGTCTTTCAGGGTAATGTTGATAAGCACCCACCTTCATCTCCCTTGAAATGCTGCCAGAGACCTAATTGTCAATTAGTTTTGCGAGGCCAAATGGAGCACAGAGTCAAACAGACTTCTCAGAGCTTGAATTGACTATATGAACTAATTGCTTCCTGCAAAGGCTCATGTCCATTTGCTCCTCTTTTATGTCTTATGGGAGGGGTCAATCAATTCCAAGCCTTATTCCCGAGTCACCCTTTTTTTTCCTTAATTGTTCTTGCCTTCTGGCAGCTCTGCGCATGCGCACACTGGGAACAGGCTCACACTGTTCCTCTGCCTCACTAATGTCAGATTCCGGAGGCTCCGAAGGCAGCACATAACTACCAGATGACTCTGGCCCCCTCTCTGCCTCCGACGCAGAACCCTCATCCGAGCCTTCCCCAGACTCCAGAACTGCCCCATGTTCCTCCCTAACCTCCTCACTGTCTGACTCTGCTGCCAGCTCCACAGGCCGCTGATGGACCACAACAGATATGTGTTATTAGCTACCATGATCCTTCTGATTTTTTTGCCAGCATAAACTGACACATTGTAGAAGAGATTCCATAATGAGTGTATGTGTGTATATCTCTGTGTTGCAAAACTCATCCAATTTAATGTGGCATATGCACAATAGCCCAAGGAGACATAATCAGACAAATGTTGTGTTCCTTACTTGGATAGGCCACTGCAATACTCCACATGCTGGGGATCAACAAAATCTGCTTATGGATGTCCATAGATCATGAAGAGATCTCATTGGCGGTCTCCAACATGTTGCAGGCCATAATCGACTCTTTAACTGGAGAAGGCAAGAAGGAAGAACATGGGAAGGAGGATGCCCTGGTGCTGGGTAACTATCATTGGAGAGGCCTACCAGCTTTGCTAAGAGTGATGGTCCTTCATAGGTGATTTTAAAACCCCTTGTTTAGCATGGAAGCAGACTTGGGGGCTAAAGCCTGTTGTGGTCAGGGCCAGGATAACAATGATCTGTACTGATCTGTCTGTCTGTCTGTCTGTCTGTCTGTCTGTCTGTCTGTCTATCTATCTATCTATCTATCTATCTATCTATCTATCTATCTATCTACCTACCTACCTACCTACCTACATACATACCTATCTGTCTATCTGTATCTATCTATCTATCTATCTAATTTATCTATCTATTATCTAACTATTATCTATCTAACTATTATCTATCTATCTATCTATCTATCTATCTATCTATCTATCTATTATCTATCTATTATCTATCTATCTGTATCTATCTATCTATCTATCTACCGTGTTTCCCCGAAAATAATGACCTATCCCGAAAATAAGTCCTAGCCTGATCTTTTTGGGGTGGGCCTAATATGCGCCCTATTCCAAAAATAATAGTGAAGAGGTTGGGTGTGGCCAGCACAGGAGGCAGCCCTTCCCTTCCCTGGTCACCTCATGGCTGCTGGACCCCTTAACCATGGCTCACGGATCAGCTGATCCAGCGGGGGGCCGGGAGTTCTGCATCTCCGGGTGCCTGGAGATATTTCCAGCTCACTCTTGCTAGCCGCAGCCCTGCCCACAGCATCAGGCAACCTTGCAGCCGAGGGCCCCTCTGTTCCACAGCTCACCATATGGCTATGGAGCAGGCAGTGAGCACAGTTTGTGCTCCGCCAGGTCTGGAGCTCGGGTGTTGTTTAGGCTGCTGCTACGATGAGGCAAAAAGCCATGCGGCCCATCTGAATCGGCTCCCCCGCCCCCTGCCTCTACGCTGCTGCTGCTGCTTGATTGTGAAATTGTGGAAGATTGTGGGAAGCGCATGCTTACGATAGAAGCAAAACCCAACCTGTGCCTTTCAAGCGATCAAATATCTCTGTGTGTGAGAGAGAATGAGAGAGAGAAAGAGAAATGACAGAGGGGAATAACAAAAAATGCAGGCAATGCTGTTTGAAAGGGTTTCCTCTCCGCTGCTTCTCTTCTCCGCTCCACCCACCTGCCCGCCCACCACACCTGGGCCTGCCACACCTTCCACCGGTATGTCAAACCTCGCACTGCAAGGCTCGTGCCATTGCGCGTGTGAGCCATGGCACTGCCGCGAGGTTCGACATACTGGTGCACAACAAGCCTTGCAGCGTCCTGCTCCAAGAGGCTGCAGCAGTGCGATGAGTCTCACAAAGACTCATTTCTGGCGAAGTTTGGGGAAGAAAAAAAAAGACTTCTGCTGCTTCTGCTACTTTCGTTGTGTGTAGCCAAAAGTTCGCAAAAGGCAGGAAGGTGAAATGCCAAACTCACGCCTCATGTATGGGCCACCCCCGAGCTTCACCATTAATGATTATGCAAATGGATATTTGAAAACTGGGGAAAATCATTTATCTAAAATAAACAAGGTAGCACCTGTAAATCGTTACCACCGTAGAAGTTCTAATTTAAATAAGTTTGCCTGATGCTGATTTCTTCTTTTTTACAGACACAAAAAAAGATATAAAGGCAATCATTGCTCATCTTCTAGATATGCTTCCCAGTAAAAAGGTATCTGGTCATGGCCGGGACAGGGCTCTCAATTTACTCAACAAAAATGTGCCAAGGCAAGACCTGAAAATCCATGACAATAGTCGCAGTATATTTGTAATTGATAATGGTAAGCAATGCCTACATGCAACCTTTCTCCAGGGTAGAGTTATGGCTTTATCCTTTGAATCAAGATTTGAAAGACACCAGACAGAATCTGTGTACTATCAGCCACTTCAGTCAATTGTCAGTTCAGTTGATATGGCTCTTGAAGACCACAGACCTTCAAACCATTTTGCCAAGCTAATTTTTAATATGAAAGAAAGAACATTATTAAATGCATAACTGGAAATTCACTGTATTGATTCATTCTGAAATGAAAATGAAATGAAATCAGATTTAGCTTTTGCCCTGGTTCCACCTGGTCCCAGAGATCCAGTGTGGCCTTCAGCCCAGAAGAGATTGTGCATCCCTAGCCTAAATGAAACCTGAACTTGAATTTGCTTGATTTTCCCTACACTTGGCTGAAGATAGAGCCACTTGTTTCTCAAAGGAGGTCACTCTGCATTTACACCCCTTAGCTGTCTACTTTCATTTGCCAATTGCCCAGCATTCCATGATCCGTACTGGTGTAGTGGTTAGAATCAGGGGTAGTATTCCCTTACTTTCCCTACCTGTTTGCAAATGTGAGCGCATGTGCCCAGCCTCAAAAATATGCCTAAATAGGATGGCATAGAGCCGGAGCGGGTGGGTGGGCCCATCTGCGATTTCTGCTTCCAGTTCAGGTAAACTGGTCCAAACCGGCTGAATACCACCTCTGATTAGAATGCAGTACTGCAGGCTGATTCTGCCACAGCCAGGAGTTCGATCCTGACAAGCTCAAAGTTGACTCAGCGTTCCAGCCTTCCGAAGTTGGTAAAATGCAGACCCAGATTGTTGGGGGCAATCTACTGACTCTATAAACTGCTTAGAGAGGGCTGTAAAGCACTATGAAGTGGTATATAAGTCTAATTACTATTGCTATTGCTATTCTAGTAAAGGCCAATCCTTCTGATGCTATTCGCAGATCAGAGACAAAGGCATTAAAAGATGTCCTGTCTATGGTTTACTTTATTTAATTTATCTATTATCCACCTATTATTTTTTATAAACAACTCAAGGCCGTGAACTTACTTAATATTCCTTCCTTCTCCCAAACAACAACAGCCCTGTAAGGTGAATTAGTCTAAGAGTGAGTGACTGGCCCAATGTCACCCAGCTGCTTTCTATAGTCTTTCTACAGCTTTCTACAGTCTTGCCCAAAGTATAATCCTAAATCCAGAATTTTACAAACATTAGGATCCTAGCAAATTGAGTAATTCATCCTGTTAACTTTTTTCAACTTTCAATGATGCAGAGTAACTCTCATGATCTTCCATCAGCCAAGCCAGTCATGAAGAACAGTGGGAATAATTGGTCAACCCTACTGGAGATTCAACAATGAAAAAGATTGAGTTAGGATGCAATTCCGTATAGGACTGGGGTCTCCAATATTCTAACATATATTGGTGAAAAGAAAACCTCTTAAAATAAATTTTAAAGTGGAACACTAAGGTTTATGAGATATCATGTAAGACAAGGGTTCTTGGAATAGCTTCTACTCCATCATCCTGTTTCAGACAGAAAACAAAATGGATGTTTATAAAAAGATATTAAACAGGGCAGAAAGGCAAAATCCTTTTTCGTTATTGTTCCCCAACAAATAGTATATTACCTCTAAAATTGGAAGCTCCACTATCAGTCATTATAGATTTTCCATCCAAATAGAGTTTGATGGCTGTCTAAATAGCTTTACGACTCACTTTTTTAAAAAAGAAAATCCATATTTCACAATACTTTTCTCAGAAATGATTTATCCATAAAAAAAAGTTTTGTTGTGTTGCTTGATACAAATTTGAACTTCAATTTTGTATCCAGGATGAGCCCAGCTTTCAATTTGCCCCCAACTTATTTCAGGCTACAAATCTAGCAGACTGTCTTTTTGCATTGTAACTTAAACTGATTCTGTGTCCTTTCTATCTTCCTCTACTTCTCCACCACCACTTCGTTTCTCCAGGTCTAAAAAAGATTTTGAAAGTTGCTGGCCAGATTCCAGAGATGTCCGATTGTCTCCCTCTAACAGATAATACACAGCTCACAGCTTCAGTTCTTCTGAACAAATTGTATGATGACTTGAGATGTGACCCGGAAAGAGAAAACTTCAGACTGATCTGTGAAGAGTACATAAGGTGAGTCCAACAGATCATAGTCCTTGAAACTTTTACAGAAAACAAGAGAAACAGAATCCAATGGAAGTATCAAAAACTTCACGGAGGTACATCAGTAGTGGGATATGTCCTGTTGATTGATCTCAGTGCAACCTAAATTGCCTCTGTGAGTTTTTTTGAACTTCTTTCTCCCAGATTGCACAGAACTAAAGGGCTAATTGTCCATTTCCAAAATAAACCCATCTGCAACACCCATCTGCTTTTTGCTACTGGTGTGTCAAGCGCAGGAAATCGGGAGCCCAGGCGGTTCAAATAACTAGTTTTATTGTATGCTGATTTTCTCTACAAGAATTTGAACTACTAACAATTCAAACAAATTGGCAGTAGATATAAGTCAACAGAATTTAAGGTGGGCTGGACTTAGATCTCTTGTGGGTGCAAAGAGACTTGAGACTGATGATGTTTTGATCCCTCCCTGGTCATGGCTCGGTGTAAGGGTTCCAAGTAACACCCCTAACGAAAGAAAACTCTGAGGCTTGAATTTCCTCAAAGTTTCATTTTATTAGAGATGTCATATTGGCACATCTGGGAAAACCCAAATCTGAAAGCTTCCAGGTTTTCCCCACCCAAAGGAAAGTCCAGGTCCCTTCCCCCTGCACCCACATGTCCATCACATGGTCCAATCCAAGCACCGTCCCAACTGGAGATGCCTCCCAGTTCCAGCCGTCCAGGTGCAGGGCAAGATGTCCTTGACTTTCTGAGAAAGGAATATTATTACGACTATATATCACCCTTGCTCCATATAATCCCCCCATCCAGTTTCCCACAGTACTAAATGTGGCAGGCCTGAAGATTCAACGAAAAACATGGCTTCCACGCCTGACACTTGGCCTAGTCATCTCTTAATGGTGTTTTAAAATACTCTTTTTCATGTCTCAACCGCAGGTTTTCTTATATTGTCACTGGTAGATTATGCATTTGTAAGTCATCCAGAGCCATCTCTGATGAGATAGGCAGCACGTAGCACTTTGACTTATATACTACCCCATAGTGCTTTACAGTGCTCTCTGGGTGGTTTATAATGTCAGCATATTGCCCCTAACAATTTGGGTCCTCGTTTTACCAACCTTGGAAGGATGAAAGGTTGAGTCAAGCTTGAGCCCCGTCAGAATCAAACTCCTGGCTATGGGCAGAGTATTCCTGCAATACTTCATTCTAACCACTGCGCAACCATGGCTCCAATAATAAATAAATGTAATCAATTAAGAATTTCAATCTCTGATTAAGAATCAATGCATTTTCACTTTAGGTCTGAGGCACTACTGATGAAACTGCCATGGTGGAGCCTTTCCAATAAGTCAAATGAGAAGGACATTTTTTTTCTGTAATTGAGCCTGGAATTATTGTTGTAAGTCATGGCAGCGGTTAAGCAAGTCACCTCATTACCATTTCCAATGTTATGACCTTTTTTGCAGCAGTTGTTAAACAAAGCTATTTTCCCCAAAGTTTTTGTCAGAGACTGGTAATAAATGCTGAAAACTGACCCCCCTCCCCAAAAAATGCCAAAAAATTGCCCTCACATGGCCATGGGATGCTATAAATGGCTGTAAATTCGAGCCAGTTGCCAAGTGCCCAAAATGCAACTAGTCACTAAGCAAGGGCTACCTGTATTGTATTTCCTAATCCTTAAGTCTTTTTTTTTCTTTTTTACCTCAAAAAAAAAAGTTGTGGGTTCGTTTCTGGAGAATTCTAATGATCTATGGAATATCCTTAAGAGACAAGAGGAGAAAGACGTAGCTGGTGCCATTGTCAGATAAGAGACATCTCAGTCTCTTATCACAGAAGGAATGGGGGATAGGGAAAGTATCTTAGAAAGAACCCTGTCAGGGTTCCGACGGATGCCCTAATTAAATCATGAGCCTTGGAGCCAAGCTTCAAAAGAAATTCAGTTATTTATTAGGAGCTCCATATCAGCACTACCCAAATGAAGCCAACTCTCTCCTCATGCAATTTACGGCCTTAATCATGACCCTGTTTCCTCCCTACCCCCAGGGAGTGTCATCAATCACATTCACCAACGGAGCAATTTCGCGGGTTGTAGAGACCACTCCCCTCCGGCTGCTGTTGGTAACCCTGGGAGACAGCCTTGAGAAAGATATGTCTGGAATGTGCTCCTGTGGCTGCCCTGTTGATTCATCAGTTTCCCATTCCCCCCTTGCCTATGGCAACTCAAGAGCAGGCCCGGGATGCTTTGCGAGTTGACAAACCCGCTCTAGATTCCTGGAAAGTAAAGGAAAACAAACAAAACCCTAATTTACTGTAGTTTACAGTAGAGGAACAATGAATAGGTAGTGCTAGGGATAATTCTGAGAAAAGAAAAGGAATATGCTTGGTAACAATGTGGTGTCACATCTTCTACTCTGCCAAATCAAAGGACAAATATTATGCCTGTCATCAGCTAACCTTAACTATTATTCTCTTTCTTTTCCCTGCCTCCAGGAGTAAAATTGACCCCAAGGATATGGACAAGACTTTACATGCCATCCAGACAGTGTCTGGAGTTCTACAAGGACCTTATGATTTGGGGAACCAACTCCTGAGCATGAACGGTGTCATGGAGATGATGGTAGCACTGTGTGGCTCAGAGAGAGAGATTGATCAGCTAATAGCTGTGGAAGCTCTCATCCACGCTTCAACCAAACTTAGTCGGGCCACATTCATCATCACCAACGGAATCACCCTGCTGAAGGAAATTTACAAAAAGACTCTGAATGAGAAGATCAAGATCAGAGCTTTAGTGGTTAGTTCTCTTAGATCTTTATCCCAATCTGTTTGATGATAGTCCTCTGAATCAGCAAAGAACTCTGCTCATTTATTTATGGAAACTTCATAATGAACTTCTAATTACGGTAAAATTGATGTTTCTAACTCGTCGCCCTAAGGACAAGCAGAGAGCAATTGTTGCAAGTCCCAAACAAAAATCTGCTCCTTCACAGTTCCCATCCTTAAAACAAGGCCAGATTAATTTATCAACCTGCGTTAGACTAGACAGAATTGTAGTCTTGAATCAATTGCATTAGGTGATAGTAGTTCCCCAAATTTCTTTAGGGAGAAATATTTGTCAGACTTATTACCTCAGAGTTGTGGCATTTGCATTGCCAAAGACAGAACTGTAGAGTGTGAGCTTATTTGTTTGCCTGCAGACACTTCTTGGTTGTTTGCTTACAGAAGAATGATGTTAAATAGTAGATCAGCGAAATACTATGGACGTAATATACTTAGACTTCAGCAAAGCATTTGATAAAGTAGACCACAACTTACTTCTTGGTAAGCTAGAAAAAAGTGGGATAGATAGCATCACCACCAGATGGATTCATTACTGGCTGACAAACCATACCCAACGAGTAGTCCTTAATGGGTCTACATCTACATGGAGGGAAGTAAGCAATGGTGTATCACAAGGTTCCGTCTTAGGCCCAATACTTTTCAGTATCCTCATAAACAATTTAGATGAGAGAATAGAAGGGGAACTTACCAAATTTGCAGATGATACTAAACTGGCAGGAATAGCCAACATCCTAGATCAGGGGTGTCAGACTCACATCACGATGGCGTCACGTGATGTATCGGGACTTTTCCCCCTTTGCTAAACTGGACAGGAGCGGGACCAGCACGTGCCACATCCAGCCCACAGGCCGCACATTTGACACCCCTGCCCTAGATGATAAGCTCAAGATCCAGATGGATCTTGACAGACTTGAACACTGGGCCCTAACTAACAAAATGAAATTCAATGTAGAGAAAAGTAAAGTCTTACACTTAGCAAGAAAAACCAAAAGTACACATATAAATTGGGTGAAACCAGGTTTAATAGCAGTGACTGTGAGAGGGATCTTGGAGTCTTAGTGGACAACCAGCTAAATATGAGCCAGCAGCGTGTAGCAGCAGCCAAAAAAGCCAATGCAATCCTAAACTGTCTTAACAGAGGGATACAATCAAAATCAAGAGAGGTACTAATACCACTCTATAAAGCCTTAGTAAGACCACACTTAGAGTACTGCGCCCAGTTTTGGTCACCACACTATAAAAAATATGTTGAAACTCTAGAAAAAGTGCAGAGAAGAGCAACCAGGATGATTAGGGGGCTGGAGGCTAAAACATATGAAGAACAGTTACAGGAACTGGGCATGGCTAGTCTAGTGAAGAGAAGGACCAGGGGAGACCTGATAGCAGTCTTCCAATATTTGAGGGGCTGCCACAGAGAGGAAAGGCTCAAGCTATTTTCCAGGGCACCTGAAGGCCAGACAAGGAATAATGGATGGAAACTGATCAAAGAGAGATTCAACCTCGAAATGAGGAGGAACTTTCTGACAGTGAGAACAATCAACCAATGGAACAGAAGTTGCCTTCAGAAGTTGTGGGAGCTTCATCACTGGAGGCTTTCAGGAAGAGACTGGACTGCCATTTGTTAGAAATGGTGTAGGGCAGTGATAGCTAACCTTTTCCAGACCGAGGGCCCAAAGCGTGCACGCAAACCCTCCAAATGCAATGCACACGTGCCCCCACGCATGCGTGCCCCCCACATGCGCCCTCCGCATGTGGGTGTGCCCCACTGCATGGCCCCTCTCCCCTGCACATGTGGGGGTGGCCCTCCACATGCTCCCCGACCCCCACGCATGCGCGGCAGAGACCCGAAGATCAGCTGTGCCATAGGTTTGCCATCACTGGTGTAGGGTCACCTGCTTGGGTGAGGGGGTTGGACTAGATGACCTACAAGGTCCCTTCCAACTCTGTTAATCTGTTAAATAAAAGAGACTTTTAGGATCTCACCCAACAGTATCTCCTTAATTTTTCTTCTTTCAGAGTTTTAGAATTGCTCTTGCTCTTTTAGCATGTTGATCCTTTTAATCTTCTAGATAAGCAGGAACTGTAATGGAATTCACCCAGAGTTGGTGCAGAAGCAGAATAAATATATTTTGGGATTTAAAAGATAATAAGCTTATCTCAGCTAAAGACTTACATCCAAGCCTAAATCTTTCAGCCCAAGTAGCTCTAAAGTTGTGGGTTTCCCTTCTGTCATTCAAAAAACAAAGACAGTCTTCAGTTGAGCTGATTACGGTGGACACACCTCTGAAGCTTTTCTTATCAGCAAGAAAGCCAATTGCCACTGCCTTGTGTCAGGATATTTTTTTTTTCCAACTTCCCAGACTAGCCTACAACCCTGTGACTAAAATAAATTTCTCACTGGAGTCTGATAAATGGATATTCCAGCTTTCTTTTCAATATATTTTTTTTCTTTGTTTTTGCCAGGGGCTTTGCAAGCTGGGTTCTGCTGGAGGAACCGACTATGGCCTGAGACAATTTGCAGAAGGGTCCACTGAAAAGCTAGCAAAACAATGCCGCAAGTGAGTGGAAGGTCTGCTTTGGGAGCTGGGGTCATAAGGAGATAGTGGAATAGATGAACTCCCCTGCCTCTTTTTCTTCCCTATCTTTTCAGCCACAGCCTCCTGCCTTGTAAGGTCTGGTAGGGAAACATCTCATTTATCTTGCAGTAACTATCAGCTTGCTATTTAAAAAGAGAGGACATACCGTAGCCATCTATGGCTGCAGTGATTAACCTTGGTGACCATGTTTACTCCTTATCTACAGGAAGCATGATTTAATACCTAGCTCTTAGGGACACCAGTGTCCATTCTGGTGTCAGTGCATCCTTCTGTCCATACTTGTGAGCTTCCAGAATGCCCTTGATTGGTCACAGAATGACCAATCAAAATCAAAGAAGCAAAAACTACAGCAGTCTTCGGCTTACAACCATTTGTTTAGCGACCAAGTTAAAATAGCACTGAAAAAAAAGTGACTTATGGCCATTTCCCCACACTTATGACCGTTGGAGGATTCCCAAATTTGGACCCTTGTCAACTGGCATGTGTTTATGATGGTTGCAGTCATTCACTTAACATCTGTAGCAAGAAATGGTTGTAAAATGGGGTAAAACTCATTTAACAACTCTCTTGTTTAACATTGGAAAGTTTGGGCTTAATTGTAGTCATAAATTGAGGACTACCTATATACAGATTTCAATAAAATACTGTATCTTTAGTGCTACTGTGGGGTAAATACAGACTCTTGGAAATAGTAAGAGAAGTTTTCCACTCTTATTTACAATACCCCTTATGGTAGAGTGCCTTTGAATGATTAAAATACTTTTTCTGTAGTTTTTCCCATCTGGCCTGAATTATTTTTTATGAGATATGCTGCAAAGAGACTTTTTCTCTCCTCTCCTCTCCTCTCCTCTCCTCTCCTCTCCTCTCCTCTCCTCTCCTCTCCTCTCCAATCTTGTACCAAACTTGAAAGGGAAAGGGAAGGATGTTCCATAGGGCAGGAGCTACCATGGAAAAGGCATGCTTCTCAAGTCCCATAAAATGGCAACATTTAAGAAAAGGGACCACTTATCTAATCTGATAGGACAGGCAAATGCCCTTAGGGAGAAGCAGTTTCTTGATTGTTTATCTCTCCTCTTCCCCTTCCATTCTTTTTTCCAGCCACTTCATATAATGCTAAATAAAATAAGCATTATGCTGATAACATAGGATTCTTCTTAAGTTTTTATAGTGAAGGGAAAGACAGACTGGAAGGAAATCCTAATTCTTGGGCAAGCAGTTTCTTTCTCACCAAAACATCTGTACTGCAAGACGCATTATAACCGTCTTGTTCATTCAGGTGGCTGTGCAATCCCACCATTGACACCCGTACCCGAAAGTGGGCAGTGGAAGGCCTTGCTTACTTGACTTTGGATGCCGACGTGAAGGATGATTTTGTACAAGACGAGCCAGCCATGCAAGCCATGTTCGAATTAGCCAAGGTAGGAAATCTACAGCCTGGTTTGCTCTAAATCCCTGTTTCCTAGGCCTGGGGGGGAGGGGGGGTCTATTCTCACATGCCAGGCAATCACATGGAGAGAGCACTCACATTTGAAATGCCTGGTGCAGGGGTGAAAGGCTATCGGTTCGGACCGGTTCACTTGAACCGGCAGCGATGGCGGCAGGTGGTTCAGAGAACCAATAGCGATGGCAGTGCGAGACTCCGCCCACCCACCCGGTTTTAACCAGGAAGTTGCCTGTTTTTTACCCTCTGTGCATGTGTAGAAGGGTTTGCGCATGCACAGAGAGTCAGCATGCACTCGAACCGGTAGGAAAGGTAAGTAGATTTCACGCCTGTCCTGGTGGTATATAGTAACTTGAAATTCCTTCATTTGGTTGCATGCAGACAAGCGACAAGACTATCTTGTACTCCGTGGCCAGCGTCTTGGTGAACTGCACCAACAGCTATGATGTCAAAGAACTTGTCCCTGAACTTGTACAGCTGGCCAAGTTTTCTAAGCAGCATGTACCTGAGGAACATCCCAAGGTAGGCATCGTCACTCTTCTAAGAATCACAAATTTGTTTTGATACTTCAGATGACTGTATCATTATCAACAGGCAAATCACATTTCTCTTTTCTCCCCGTAGGACAAAAAAGACTTCATTACAAACCGAGTGAAGCGTCTTATCAAAGCCGGAGTCACCTCTGCCTTGGTCTGCATGGTGAAGGCAGACACTGCTATTTTGACAGATCAGACCAAAGAACTTTTAGCTAGGTAATTCGATCTAAGGGGCTGCCACAAAGAAGGGCGGGGTGTAAACCTGTTCTCAAAAGCACCTGAAGGCAGGACAAGAAGCAATGGATGGAATCTAATCAAGGAGAGAAGCAACCTAGAACTAAGGAGAAGTTTCCTGACAGCGATAACAATTAATCAGTGGGATGACTTGCCTCCAGAAGTGGTGGGTGATCCAACACTGGAAGTTTTTAAGAAGAGATTGGACAACCTTTTGTCTAAAATGGTATAGGGTTTCCTGCTTGAGCAGGGGATTGGACTAGAAGATCTCCAAGTTCCTTTCCAACTCTGTTATTCTGTTATTCTCTCATTCTTTGCGATCCTTCCTGATTGAATTGTAAGCCAGATTGTTATGTCCCCTTGTTTATTACAGTATTCCTTTAAAAAAAACAGTATACACTGAAATATAAACCAAGAATATGAGCAAGAATTGTAATGGTTCTCTCATGTCTGTTCCTTCCTGGCAGAGTTTTTCTCGCTTTGTCTGATGACGCCAAGGATCGTGGTACCATTGTTGCTCAAGGGGGTGGAAAGGTAACTCATTCCTACAGTTTCTTCATTTGCGATATAGATGGGCTAGGTTTGCATGTGTATATAACCAGGTCAAAGATCTAGTGGCTACCATATTATTGCTTGCCATTGTGCTTCACACAAAGTGCAAAGACAATGGCCAAGTTCCTACGCACAGTTCTTATCATGAGGACATTTTTTCTGAGACCCTGCCAAAATCTCTTTTTTTGTAATTGTTTTTTTACTCCCTCTTCTTGAACAGCATCCCAGTTCCATCTGAGCCTGAGTTGTCTTTAGACCAAGGATGTCAAACTCAAGGCCCGGGGGCCGGATTCGGCCCATGGGGTGCTTAGATCTGGCCTGTGAGGCTGCCCTAGAAACAGCAAAGGATCGGCCCGTGGTGCCTCTGCCAGCAAAAACGGGCGTGTGGCCCTCCCAGGCTCCATTTTCAGCTGTGACAGCCTTCTGCCACTCTCTGCCAGTGAAAACGGAGCTTGTGGGGGGCGCGGGGGCGCAATAGGCTACCTCTGAGCTCCGTTTTCACTGGCAGAGTGCGGCAAGAGGCTGTCGCAGCTGAAAATGAGCTCCGGAGCCCATTTTCGCTAGCAGAGCACTCGGGCCACCACAGAAGCCCCTGACACAAATGATATCAAACTGGCCTTGCCCACCCCACCCCTGAGGTCAAACATAATCGTGATGCGGCCCTCAATGAAATCAAGTTTGACACCCCTGTCTTAGACTGTAATTTAGTTTGACTATTTGTCTTTGTAGTAGTGGTCCAATTTTGGGATCTGTATTTGGGATCATTTGATGTCCTTTTTAAACTTGGATCGAGCTAGTGGCCCAGTCTATACAATACCCACTTGTACGTTATTATCGATATACACAACCCTAATTGGGAGTGGCAACTCCACCTCAACAGGAAGCAGTCATTAAGTGCAAGCGACTTAAGTGACTGCTCCACTTAGCAATGGCAGTTCCAGCAATCTCCAATGGCTGTTAACTGAATCACATACAGTTGTTAAGTAAGACATCATGTGACCCTGACTGGCTACCATTAACTTGCCAGTTTTCCAGTTGGCTTTGCTTGTAAACTGGCAGGGAATGTTGCAAATGACAATCCCATGACCATAGGATGCTGTGACTGACTTGCACAACAGTTGCTAATCACTCAAATCATGATCATGTGACCATAGAGATGATCTGACAGTTATACGTGCAGGACTGGTCCTAAGTCATTTTTTTCAAACCACTCAATAAATGAATGGTCTTTAAATGAAGGTTAATTGTACTCTCAAGGATTGAATCAAATCCCAGAAAAGCAACCTGTGTCTCCCTCATAGATATAATTTGATTGTAAATGGTATATTAATTATAAAAGCCTTACAATTTAATGGTCCTTTCCTTTCCTTTCCTTTCCTTTCCTTTCCTTTCCTTTCCTTTCCTTCCCTTTCCTTTCCTTCCCTTCCCTTCCCTTCCCTTCCCTTCCCTTCCCTCTGCCTTTATTTCCTCCATTCCTGCAATAATTAGGATATATGCAAACTATTTTGCTTCATTTCTACCTTTTTCCTTTTCCCTGTGCATACGTTTTGCTTTTATACTATGTCTTTTTGCAAGAGCTGATACGCTAGAGCAGATATAAATTGTATCAGTACATTAAGTGCTTATCTTATAATTTCTTTCTCTTCATCTTTAGGCCCTTATACCACTGGCCTTGGAAGGCACAGATGTTGGCAAAATAAAAGCATCCCATGCCCTGGCCAAGATTGCTGCCGTTTCCAACCCTGACATAGCATTCCCTGGGGAGAGAGTGAGTAAATTCATATGTCCTGCAACATCTTTATAAAACAGTAAAGCAATTGTGGAAACAAGCTGCATTTCAGTAACTGGAGAGGGATATAAATATATGAAGCTGCCTCGCTCTACTGAACAGCTTTTCCTGTTAGGAAGTTGTTCGTAATATCCAAACAAAATTTACTTTCTTGTAATTTGAATCATTTCTTGTCCCGTCTTCTGAAACATATTTGAATAATTCTCCATCTCCTATGACAGTCTTTTAAGTATTTGAAGACAACTATCATGTCCTCTACAGTCTCAGGGTAAACATACTCAACACTTCCAACCATTCCTCGTAAGTTTTTCCTTCTAGTGTCAACTCTTCAAGTAGACAGGAAAGCAAAATTGTGAACTCAAATGCTATTTTTATTATAAAGCCACAGAATCTTGCAGGTCTGAATTGTGTTTTTCCCCACCTTCTCATTATCTTTGTAAGGACCAAGGAAGGTCTTGTCTAAGCTTACAGTTTTAGCCAAACGCTCCTATTTCCTTTTTTCTAAAAGTTGCCTTGGTTGCAGCTCTTCCTTCTGTTCCTCAAGGTTATTCCTTCTTCTCATTATGCCAGATCCCTTACCATTATGTTCTACACTATTGCTTTCATCCTAGGTGTATGAAGTTGTGCGGCCACTGGTCAGTTTGTTGAATACTGAGCGCGATGGGCTACAAAATTATGAGGCATTGTTAGGACTCACCAACTTTTCTGGAAGAAGTGACAAACTCAGGTGAGACAACTAATTGGGTTTAGATTATTTTTAACAGCCTAATCCTATTAAGAAAAACCTTACCATGTCTATCCATATCTTCACAATGTTTAATATTAACCAGACTTTTTGTGATCTTTTTTCCTTCGCTATATTTTATCATACCAGCTCTACTTCTGTTTATGTATTTGCTTGCTCTGTAGGGCAGCTCATCTGGGTAGCTCACATCAGTTAAAAAAATAATCCAATAGGGGACTGGACTGGAGGCTAAAACATATGAAGAACGGTTGCAGGAACTGGGTAGGTCTAGTTTAATGAAAAGAAGGACTAGGAGAGACATGATAGCAGTCTTCCAATATCTCAGGGGCTGCCACAAAGAAGAGGGAGTCCAGCTATTCTCCAAAGCATCTGAAGACAGGACAAGAAGCAACGGATGGAAACTAATCAAGGAGAGAAGCAACCTAGAACTAAGGAGAAATTTCCTGACAGTTAGAACAATTAATCAGTGGAACAACTTGCCTCCAAAAGTTGTGAATGCTCCAACACTGGAAGTTTTTAAGAAGATGTTGGATAACCATTTGTCTGAAGTGGTATAGGGTTTCCTGCCTGAGCAGGGGGTTGGACTAGAAGACCTCCAAGGTCCCTTCCAACTCTATTATTCTATTCTATTCTAATAAGAAAACAGGTTAAAAACCAATATATATATATAAAAAATGATCAGTAACCACTTGGATAAAAATAAACATGATCAGTAGCAAAATTCATTGTGTCAAACCCAACACAGCCATTATAAGAGCTCTTCATCATTGATGAAAACCACTCCCTTCCCCAAGCGTGGTGGGAGAGCCATGTCTTCTGGGCCTTACTAAAGGCCAGGAATGTGGGGCTAATCTAAGATCTGATGGGATGATGTTCTTTTACTTATATCAGTGTTTCTCAGTGTAGGCAACTTTAAGACATGAAGACTCAACTCCTAGAATTCCCCAGCAATGGGTTGGAGAATTTAGGAGTTGAAGCCCACACATCTAAAAGAGAAATACTGACTTGGATTATAAATCTCCATAGAAGCTTTATTGCTAACTCTTACATGATGCATATCACTGTATTTTTAGTCACTTAATAACAAATGATTTAATCAGGAACAGCAGAAACATGATTATGAATTAGAGCTCCTCAACTTTCCTGATTCCGTTATAGCAGCAGAGAAATTAATTCAATATTCAGATCAAGGAAAATCAAGATTTTCCCATAATTTCTGACTTAAATATGTAAGAAATATCTAACATAAAAGAACCGAGGAGGCGCAGTAGTTAGAGTGCAGTACTGCAGACTACTTCAGCTGACTGCTGGCTGCAGTTTGGCAGTTCAAATCTCACCAACTCAAGGTTGATTCAGTTTTCTGTCCTTCTGAGGTGGGTAAAATGAGGACCCAGATTGTTGGGGGCAATAGGCTGACTCTGTAAACCGCTTAGAGAGGTCTGTAAAAGCACTATGAAGTGGTATATAAGTCTAAGTGTTATTGCTATTGTTATAATCAGAGAAAACTGGAATGAATGGATGATAGGCACAGCTAGATGCCAATGCCCTGTGTAAATCCTTCCTCTATTCCAAGGAAGCAGATGAAATAAAGTACGGGTTTTCAAAGTCATCAAATTCATGTTACATTGGTTGTGTTCAAGAAGCCCTGAACCAGGGTTCTAACAGACGGACTTATACAAAAAAAACCATTTGCATCACCATAGCAACAGCAAATAGAGCCTGGTGGTACAGCAGACTAAAGCACTGTTATTAACATCAGCTGCTTGCAATTACTGCAAGTTCAAATCTCACCAGGCTCAAGGTTGACTCAGCCTTCCATCCTTTCTAAGGTAGGTAAAATGAGGACCCAGATTGTGGGGGCAATAAGCTGACTGTATAAAATATACAAAAGTATGAAAGCTATTGCTTAACGCATTGTAAGCTGCCCTGAGTCTCCGGAGAAGGGTGGCATATAAATCAAATTAAAAAAAAAAAAAAAACAGCTGCAGCATCAGAGGAGTTAATACAGTACTGGTGATGCCAAAAGATCTTTTCATTGCAGTAAACTATGATTAAAAAGGAGACTTGTCTTTGAGCCAAGTTTTGCAAAGTGGAGATTGGCCTATTCTCAGAGTCCCTGACAGTTTCATACTTTTCATTTTCAGCACCCTGATACAGTAATTAAAATCCACATGCTTCTTTCAGACAAAAGATCATCAAAGAGAAAGCTCTACCAGACATTGAAAACTATATGTTTGAAAACCATGATCAGCTCCGACAAGCAGCCACAGAATGTATGTGCAACCTTGTAGTTAATAAAGAGGTAAGCATTTCTATTTCCTGAAAATGAAGGGATCTCCAGTCTACAGCTTCTTCATCGAGGAATGTTCAATATTACTGTATTTTATGGAGTATCCATTTAATTCATTTCCCTCTCCAATTTCCCCCCAGGTTCAAGATAGATTCATTGCTGAAGGAAATGACAGACTCAAGTTGATTGTCCTGTTATGTGGCGAAGATGATGACAAAGTCCAGAATGCAGCCGCGGGAGCCCTTGCGATGCTCACTGCAGCTCATAAGACACTCTGTCATAAATTAACCCAAGTGGTAAGTCTCTTCTTGCTTTTCAACCTCAGTGTGTAGGTAAAGATGGGAGGTTAAAGTTGTTTTCAAAATTCTGATTTGCTTCATGTAATTCTGTGGTTCCTGCTAGTTATCTTTTCATGTACTGTAGGATTTCAAGAACATATATGAACACAATGTGTATCTATGCTCCTTGAATGAGAGGAGGCATCATTCTGCTGTTCTTCCATTTTTTTTTCACTTTTATCCATCACCTCATAAGATCTGCAAATTGTCCCCTGCTTAAAATGCTATCGCTCTGTTGGAATGGCCCAAAATTCCTTGGTAGTACAGTGGTCTAAAGCACCCTGTTATTAAGACCAGCTGCCTGCAATTACTGCAGGTTCGAAACTCACCAGGCTCAAGGTTGACTCAGCCTTCCATCCTTTCTAAGGTAGGTAATTTGAGGACCCAGTTGTGGGGGCAATAAGCTGACTTTGTATAAATATACAAAAGGATGAAGGCTATTGCTTAGCACATTGTAAGCCGCCCTGAGTCTCCGGAGAAGGGCGGCATATAAATCAAATTTTTTTAAAAAGGCCCAGGAATCAAGATTTTAGGAATATCACAACTTTTAATATTTTGTCCCTTATTATATTTGATTTTGTCCCATCTGTATTACTTTGTAAGTAACCCAAGGCAGCAAACATATATTATACTTCTTCCTCTTATTTTCCCCATGACAACGAATGTGTTGGGCCAAGAGAGAGCGACTGGCTCAAAGTCACCCAAAAAGTTTTCATGGCTAAAGTGGAACTAGAATTCACAATCTCCTGGTTTTATTACACCAAACTGGCTCAGTAATCTTTTATGGATTCCTGTTCTATATGGTGATATGAATCTATCCTTCATTAGTTCCTGTTTCCTCACAAAAAGGTGGTGGGATGGGGTTTTCATTTCTTTAAGGATAAAACTGAATTACAGGACAATTAAGAAAGTAAATTAGTAAGTAAAGCTTTTTTTTTTCTCCCCCACAAACGGGGAATAAGAACATAGTAATTAATCAATAATTCACCATGAAGTTACCCTGAACTGAATACATTTAGAATCAGACACTATCCATTTCAAATAGAATCTTTTAATTAAAATTGCATGCAATGTTTGTTCCTTTTTTCAGCAAATATTCTGGATGCATTATGACTATAGAAAATTCCATTGGTGGCTATTGCAATACTATTTTACTTAGTTTTCTGAAAAACAATGCTTGCCACACTCACGATCTTTTTAATATGAATAATATCCTGAATTATGATCCTTTTCACGCTTTTCTAATAGGGCCCCAAGAACAAAACTGCATGGTAATCATTCTGATTTCTTCAGACTAATAACTCTGATTTGTTTAGACAACCCAATGGCTGGAGATTTTGCAGAGACTCTGCCTTCACGAAAAGCAGGATGTCCAGCACCGTGGAGTGGTGATTGTTTACAATTTAATCCACGCAGACCAAGAACTGGCAAAGAAATTGGTGGAGTCTGAGATGTTGGAAATCCTGACCATCATTGGTAAAGAAGCGGATGATCCTAAAAGACAACACATTATCAATGTGGCTCGAGAATGCCTTGTGAAGTTCATGGACTATGGGTTGATCAAACCCCTGGCTCAGCCATAAAGAAGCAAGGAAAAATAAAATGACACAAATCAGAAATAAAGGAGAAATTGGAATGAATGTGTATGGGAAAATGATCAGAAAATTAAAGCATTGTCTTCAAAGTTGTTACTTATACTTTTGCCTTCAGAAATAAACATCCAAATAATTCCTAATTAATTGCTTGGAGGGTCCCTAAATTTTGTCCTGGCTAAGAAAATTATTCTTTGAAGTGCCTGCCTAGCCAAATTCTTTGACGATAGGAAATCCCTAAAATCAGAATACCCTGTATGTCAGTCAGGTATGCAATGTGCTTGGTATCCATCGCAGTTGATGGATACCACTCCTGGTCTGACTGAATCTACAGTGAAAGTTAAATATCCATCTCAAGTCACTATCTTTATTTCCAAAAATATCCTGAACCTCTTGCAGTTTCTAGGGACTTGCTTAGAAAATAAAAACGATAGGGAACAGCAGCCCCCAGTATTTTGTTTGAGAAAAACCAGAAAAGAAAAAAAAAATGAAGGAAGAAAAAAATCCTGGAGATTGGGAGTGGGAAACTGTGCCCAAGCAGAAAGGTTCAAAAGGCTGGTAGAATAACAGAGTTTTCCAAGACCAGGAAAAAAACACACACAAACTCTTGGGATCAAGATTGTATTAATGTGGTTATTTTTATTTCATGTCTGCTTAAAGCCTCACCAGTTCCTTTTACAACCAGTTTTCCAGTAAGGCGCTCTCTCCATTTTAATTAATCTTATCTTTTGTTCCTTTGATGACACTTGCTCTCTCAATCCAATCTTTTTTTTTTTTTTGGCTAAGCCTCTTCTGTTTTTCTCTTTTCTGTGTTTTCTTCCATGAAATAAATATTATTTTTTAAACAGTCACTAAACTAACTGTTTTAAGTCAAGGACTGACTACCTGTACTGGGCTTTTCTTTCCCAGTTAATATTTATTTATTGAAAAAAATGTATAACACCCAACTCAGTGGCTTCTGGTGGCTTACAAAGATAAAAACCCAATATTAAAAACAATAAAAAAGCAATAACCCCCCATCTCCCTGGTGATAACATTCAATCAAACATAAAGGGGATGACATTTTCCTTTTTTTGTTCTTTCCCCTAAATTCCTGGTTAAGGAGAAAAAATTGTGATGATGATATGAGACCTCTGCCGCATTGATTATAGATTCCACTGGTAGGAGACCAAGTAAGGGTAATCCCCTCGCCCCACCCACCCCACATTTTTAGAGGTTGTGTTCTTTACTATTTTAGTCCCAGCCTAGACATTCTTCATTTATCAAGCAAACCAAAAGTGTCCTTCCCACTCATAAAACACCTGCAGCATCTTAAAGACTAATAGATTTATCATGAAAAAAGTTTGGTAAAGCAGTGTAGGAAGTTAGCACCCACCCCTTTCCTAGAAGAATGAAATATTTTAGGAAATGTTAAAAAGGCAGATCATTATTTTTTTAAAAAATATTTTAAATATTTTACTAAACTTAAAACATCACAATGGACTGATTTTAAAATCTTAGTAGCACGTGGCATTATAGATAAATTAAATATTATTACAATAGATGTACGTTAAAAAGCTATCGAAACCTAGGCTCGTTTTGCCCAACAATTTCACGTCCAAAGTTTGGCTGGCAGATAAATCGAAGGAAATAGAGGCAGATATAGAATGCATTCAGAGATATTTTTGTGGTTACACAATTTACTAGTAAAAACAGACACGAGCTGAAACAGAACACACCTCCCCCATCCCAGATGAAGCGTTAAGGGGGGGGGGGAGAGGAAAGTCTCGTGAGAAAATTTGCTATTTCCCTTGGCGCAATGATTGTTGGGAGTTGAAGTTAAAAAGGATCCTGTGAGCGACCGGAAACAGGAAGTGTGATCCAGACTGCTTGTAGGGCTGGCAGCTTCGTCCGGAAGTCCTTTGACGCGGGATTTTAAAATGTCGGAGCAACGCGGATCCTGCTGAATACGTGGTAGGCGTATGAATTTGGCTTATATATGTTGAAGCTTTATCGTTTCTTATGCGGTAAACGGAACGTAGTCATGGAGAGGGTTTTCAAGAAACCACAGTTAAGAAAACCATGGCTCACTAGGTGGTTCAGTGGCTAAGACGCTGAGCTTGTCGATCAGAAAGGTCGGCGGTTCGAATCCCTAGGATAGGTTTCCTGTGTGAATAGAGGGTTGGACTAGATGACCTCCATGGTCCCTTCCAACTCTGTTACTGTTACTTTGGCCACTTTAAGACGTGTGGATTTCAACTCCCAGAATCCCCCAGCCAGAAATCTGGGAATTGAAGTCCACACATCTTAAACCAGGGATTTCCAACCTTGGCAACTTTAAGACTTGTGGACTTTGCTTTAAGACTTTAAACTTAAACTTTAAACTTTAAGACTTGTGGACTGCTTTGCTGGCTGAGGAATTCTGGGAGTTGAAGTCCACAAGTCTTAAAGTTACCAAGGTTGGAGACCCCTGTCTTAAACCTACCAAGGGTGAGAAATGCTGGTTTAGCAGATTGTAGGACAGGCAACATAAGAGACACGTGACAAGTACAGCAGAAGGCCAGTCCCAGAGGCTGAGCAGGACCAACAGAGAAGCTTGAATGAAAGTGGCTGCTTAGGATACTAGTGGTGCTCTCCCTGGCTTATTATGCCCACAATCTAAAATGATTCAATCTAAAAATGATTCAATCTAAAATGATCTTCCTAGAAAGATAATTTTGTGATATTGAATTGCAAAAATAACGGCCACTAGAGAATGATTACAGTATCGAAATACTATGCAGGGTCTGACAAAGAGGTTCCTGCTAGATGTGCCAAAGGCAATGATGAGTGAAGTCTAGTCTGAACTGGTATTGTCAGAACTTTAGTTTTGACTCTGACCAGGGCGTGATCACGTAATCTTCTCTCTGAGCAGGTTTTGGCAAGTCTGGGTCCCCTGGGAATTCTCTGTTTGAATTTGTCTCTGGATCTGTGGCCTATTGCTGGACATGTTTGGGGCAGAAATAGATTTCATGGGATGGAGGAGTTCAATCTATCGCATTTAAAGTGGTTTAAGCAGACCATTGTACGTGGAAAAAATCTTTTTCTTCAGTGATTGGTGGATGAGTTATTCTTCCCACTTTCTCTGGGAAGCGGAAATAGAAAATTTGCTACAATTTTTAGCATGGAGAGCACCACTTCCTTCCAGTTACAAGGATTGATAAGTGATGTGTCAAAGAAAACTCCTAGAGGAAAAAAATCAGATGGAATTAAAAATGCAAGGGAAGCTAGCTCTTTCTCACAGCAAAGCCATTTTCCCACCAGAGAAAGATTTGTACTTCTTTTCATTGTAGGAAAGGACCATTAGGATCAATACAAAATTTAGAATGCGCCTGCTTGAGTTCAATAGGAAAAAATGATACATTTTTCACAGGGCAAATAAACAGTTGAAACTTGAAATCCTAAGACACAGTTAATTAAAACTTTGTAGTATAGGGCCTGGTTATTTGCAGCACAAGCTGTTTCTGATTACTTCTGTCCTCCAATAAAATCTGATAGGGTGAACCTTCTCTTAATCTCATCACTCAGATGATAGGATCCAGACCTGCCCGATGGACCAGAGAGATTTGGATCGCCCTACTTATTTGGATCGCCCTATGTAGAAGTCTCTTAAGACCTGTTTTTTCTCCTGGGTACTGGGTTAACTAGTTTGTACCCAACTTGATTATTCTTGGGATTGTTTTTCGTAAAGTTGCCCTGGGTGCAACTTTTAATTATTTTTAATACTATTTTTGTGTGTGTTCACCCCAAGTCACATGGCAGTTGAGTGGTTATATGAATTTTCAAAGTAAAAGAAATGGAAAATAATGCTACTTTAAAACAAGACCTGTATAAAATTGGATATGTGGATGGCAGATTGAGATTTTGTTCCAATGTAAGTACAATTATGCTTGAGGATGTTGGAAGGGAAGATCATCCAGGTCCATTCCAACTCTGATTCTATGATGTGATTATTTGGGCACTGTTTCCATTATGTTATAAACTTTTGATAATGCTGGTTTAAAAAATCTTCTAACAGTAAAAGGGCATAATAGGAAGCGGTGGACTCCCCTTCACTGTATGTGATAGAGAGTAGTTAATGCTTTGATTTGGATTCTTGCACAAGCAATTAGACTGAAGGCCCAAATGGTTCCTTCCAACATTGATTCTATGAAGACAGTAACAACTGGATTTTGTTTTGTACAGGTGATGGCTTACTGTTGACAAGACCAGAGGCAGTAACAAGAATTTTCTGCTTATACGAGGTATTTCTGAAAAGAATTCTTCCTAGCAACATTCTATTTAAAAAAAGACTCATGTAGCAGAGGACATTGTTGCAAGATTTGCATACAAAGGACAATTATGTAAACACTGTAAGTTTGTACATTTATCTAATATTCAAGTAGACAGGGTTTGAATCCCAGAAGGGTATGGCTAGCTGATGAGAGCTAAATAGCTTGAAATAGATCTATACTAGTCTCCCTTTATTTCTTTGTCGGTAAACATAAATTCAACACTGTAAGTCTGTGTTACTGATATAAATAAAATGACTAGCATGAGAGATCAGTAGATCTGTGTTGCCATGATATTGTACAGAAGAGGCCTTCCATGGTGGATTTTGCGTATAGATGACTGTCTTTTGGGAAGGGTGGAAAAATTTGTCTTGAAACAAAAGGCCCATGAGACAGAAGGGGGAAGGTAAACAAAAAACCCAAGTTTAAGCTGAGGGATCTTGCTGAAATCCAGAGATTTTGTAACGCTGCTGGAGACGAATCCACAGAGAGCTTTTATGAATAAGTAAGTTATCTGATATACTTACTACTAAATCAACTATGGAGGACAGATGGAAGTGACATATCTATAGTCTGCCAGCTGTATTTCAGTGCTGCTTGTGGAAAAATAGTTGTTCCTCCCTCAAAGGAGAGGGAGACAGTTTAGGTTGATGGAAGACAGATGGAATGGATTCGTACAATATGTTGATCTATTCTGAGCAATCTATATTTGTAAGCAATGTTTTATGCATTGGATATATCTAGAAGATTCTGATACAGCCTACTTTGTAAACAGAACCATTGATTGATCTGCCACCCTACCAAGCTCACTCATGTTAAAACATTAAGGAACCAACCCCCCCACCCCCCAAAACAGAAAAATCCAGAATCAATTCCTTGCATTTTATTTAGAAGTTTCAAGTAGCATGGGAGAAAAGATACCAGTTTTCTATCCCCTAGTACTCCTTGTTATGTAATGCATCAAAAGGACCCGGGATTTAACAGTTCAAATATCTTGTTGAGTCCCCAAAATGGATGCTGGATTTGTATTTGTAAACTTGTTTACCAAAGCCAACTTTCATTTTATCAAACAGAAGTTTATCATCTTGCACTTGCTCCAGAAGAGTTAGAATTCAAATCCCAGGGTGATCTAGGCTTGTGCTTCCTATAGAGTCTCTTAAAGTAAAAACTGATTGAAGCAACATAAAAACATTTGTAATAAAATGTTAATGTTAATATTTATCATGATGTCCAAATGCAATCTTTGTTAAGCAGTTTCTTGTGCGTCTATTTTGAGGAATGTATCGTTTGACTTACATGGCTTGCAGCTATGACTTTGGATGGCTAACATAAAAACAATGCAAAAACAATGATCAAGAAAATATGAAGAACCTATAGGTAAAAACCCAATAAAACCTGAACAATACAATCTCATTTCATTTCATAGGCTATCCTTTCCAGTCCCAATATTCTGGAGAATATCCAGTGTTTTGCAAAATATCAGTAGCATGAAGGGCCAATATAACCTTGGGGATCTGGTGTTCCAGGGGGCAGGTGCTATGACAAAAAAGGCCTGCTTCCTATATGTCACAGTAGACCTACGGCCCACTTCTTCAATTGAGAGGACCCAGAGTGTGCATCTCCAGTTGGGCCTGTGGGACAGACAGAAAAGAGGCAAGATGAGGTTTTGTAAATAATCCAGCCCCTTGCTGTGAATGCTTTATAGGTGACAACTACTATCTTGCTGCTGCTAGAAAACGTTTGACTGTTAGCCGCTCAGGTTCCTCTCAGCAGCTTTTCTGTCTTTTCATGGTCATTTATAGCAGTGTTCAACTGAAAGTTATCAACGTATAATTTATGATGAACTTAGAATAACAGAGTTGGAAGAGACCTTGGAGGTCTTCTAGTCCAATTTCCTGCTCAGGCAGGAAACCCTGTATCATTTTAGACAAATGGTTTTCCAAAGTCTTTTTGAAAACTTCCAGTGTTGGAGCATTCACAACTTCTGGAAGCAAGTTATTCTACTGATTAATTGTTCAATCAGGAAATTTCTTCTTAGTTCTAGGCTGCTTCTATTAAAGCTATTTTTTCTGAAACCTTCTCACAACTTGGTCTGTAACCCTGAGCTGGCCAGTTAATGACCAATTGTTTCTAGGAAACATTTACCCTTAGAAATGTGCCTGAAGTCATACTGATGAAAAACAGATTTTCTATCTAATAATCTTTCTCAGCTAATCTGTTTTCACTTAATAGATATAGGGAAAAATCAGGTGAGGCAGTCCAAAGACAACAGTTGACTTCTGTTGATTCTCCAAACAGCAAGTATAACCCATAGCTACACGCTTAAAAGCCACTTCCTCTGCCAGTAAAAACCATGCTTAGTATAAGCAGAAAAAAGCACCCAATTCTGCAATGTAGCGTTCCAGTTTTTATATAAAGGTTGGAGGATGGACCTGTTAGTTTTCAGGTGTGTACAATTTGACAAGGTGCTGAAGTTCAGTGGCATAGCCAGTGATGGGACACCGCTGGTGATGCTTCACGTAAGAGTAGACACAGCGATAGCAGAAAACAAAGCCAGAGGTGGAGAGGGCTGTATCGTTGGCACGTATTTTACGACACAGAGGACATATTGTCTTGAGCTTTGGCAAAAGAGGTGAATCAGTCTCGTAGTCCAGGTGCACAGGTGGTGGTGGAACTGGCATAGCAGTCAGTGATTTGATGGCCTCCTGATTCTCAGCTGAATACCACCACTCCAAGAACTGGAGGAAGAAGATGCCCACAGAGAGGCCTGTGGAGAGGGAGAAAGCCAGGGCTCCCAAGATTTTTTTCCCAGCTGACTGCATTTGCTCTTTCATGCTGCAGAAAAGGGGTAAGATATAAAAAAGAAATTAACAATTCACACTAATGTTAAAAAACACGGAAAGCATTAAAATGCAAATCCAGGGATACAGTAAAATGCAATCTCTTGAATTTTCCTCTAAGACAGAAAAGCCATAAATTCCCGAGATACAACTATGATTACCATAGCTATTCATCCAAACACCTGGTTTCCAGCATTTAACAACTGGAGGTATAACACCCCAAATTTTTGTAAGATTAGTTTGAGGGGGGAAAACCAGGAGAGTATAAATAGTTATAAATAGAAAATTGGCATTCCCACTCAACAGATGGCTCTCGAATGACTCTTAGAGAAACTGATCCTCAAAAATAAGAAAAATCTTAGCCATGACTTTACTCTCCAGGTGTACTTGCTAAATGGGCTAACAGGTAATCCTTGAATTACAGCCATTCATTTAGCAACTGTTCAAAGTTACAATGACACTGAAAAAAAAGAATGATCAGTCCTTACACTTATGACTGATACAACATCCAGAGTCACATGATCAAAATTTGGGCACTTGGCGACTGGCAGGTATTTACGATATCGAAGGGTCATGCGATCGCCATTTGTGATCTTCCCAGCTGGTTTACAACAACAACAGTTAGAATAGAAAGAATAGAATTCTTTATTGGCCAAGTGTGATTAGACACTCAAGGAATTTGTCTCTGGTGTATAAGCTCTCAGTGTACATACACCAATAGTGATAGATCAGCTAATGTTCACCCATTGATTTGCTTAGATTTGCTCAATTTGCTAGATTTGCTTAACAACCACATGATTCACTCAACAACTGTAGTGATTTGCTTAACAACTATGGCAAAAAAGATCATAAAATCAGGTGCGACTCTCTTAAAATGCCTTGCTTAGCAATGGAAATTTTGGTCCCAATCATGGTTGTAAGTCAAGGACCTCCTGCGTAAAAGATTTTAGAGTCTTGACCTATTTCAATCTTTGTGGGGCTTGCTGAAGATGCTTTTCTTGTTTCTTAAAGGTGTAGTAATCATAAGATCATTTTCTTACATTTTCGTCTTTACGTTCTACATTTTTTATAATTAACTGCCTGGCGAGTATTACTTTTTAGATGATATACAAACATTGTGAATATATAAATATACCCAACCATTGAAGGAAGGAAGCAAAAACAGCAAGTGGGGCCTTGTTTATAGGGTTTTCATTTCTATTCACCTGTTTGATGACCGCAGGACGTCACCAGCAGCTACATGTATGTTTTCCAAAGCCCGCAGATCTTCTGCTGTCAGCCTAGCCAAATACACACCAGCCAGTCTCAGCAGCGGGGAGTGGTGCCGAGCCTTCCCCAGAATGTAACATAGCTGCTGCACCAGAAACCAGCCCTCCCAAGCCATGTTCACAAAGGGATAGGCAGCCAGGAAGGCCTTGTAAAACCGCTTCCAGCAGGATGACGGAGGGTGGATAGAATAATCGTCCTCTTCCTGGAGGCGGGAGATCAACTTTTCCAGTTTGGTTCTCAGATACGGAACAAGAACCAACAAGCAGAGAGATTTCCAATGATGCTTTTGGGGAAGTCCAGCAGTGGCCAGGGATCTCTGCTGATTCCTTTTGCTTTTCAGTGCAACTCTCTTCAAGCCGTAGAAGTTTTCAGAAAAAGAAGCACTGCACCGGAAGAGGTAGTGCTGCTGGAGTAGAAGATCCAGGATGGTGTAGATTTCGTCAAACCAGCGCCACAGGAAACCATAATATGAAGGGTTGGATTCAGCCAAAACCTAGTACAAAAAACAATCAAGGGTAAGAGTAATAAACCTGGATGTGTCAAGACATTTTTTTATCAATCTTTGAAACATTTTTGTTTGGGCTACTTTGTGGATTTGTTTGCTTTGAGATTGTTGCAAGATAACACAGCCTTTTTCAAAATGAGGGCTATGTGGCCTTTGAATGACATGCTAGAAGTTGTGTCCCATTACTGGATCAGGACCAGGAACTGAAAAAAGGATGTACGGTAACTAGCACACACACAAAGACAAAAATAGATCTAATAATAGAATAATAATGCAGTTAATAGCATCACAATATTTCATAATTTGCTCAGTTTCAAAATTTCAAAATTGTTTGAAAGTTTCATGGCCATACTCATAAATTGGAATCCACGTTGATGTTCTTATTATTTTAAACTGCATTTGCTTTGTTAATGATTTTCAGCAGAAAAATGAATTATAATTTATAGATTATCTAGATTTCTGTTGTAGGCTTAGTGGAAAGTCACTGATTTGATCATCCCGGTCTGACTACAGAGCTTAACAAGATCTGAGGAAGGATTCTCTTTCTGTATCTGAAACCTGAAATAAATCTTCCAATTGTAAAAAAGATGGATGTCACATATGTACACAATTTTTTTTCTTGTCCTTCCATGCTTTCATATATTTCCTTCATTGTTCTGACCATTATTCAACCTTAGATAAGCACAGAAAAGTAATGGTTATCCTTCCCTCAATATTTGCTTACCAACAATTCTTCTTACCTTGATCACATGCTGAAATGCTGGCCTTACAGCAGTCATCAAACTGTCTTGGGCAACAACTTCAAATATAGAAGGCCTGTCCTCATATGTGGAGGTGGCAGTGAGATGAGCCCCATGTTCTGCCATGGTCTCTTCTAAAATGAAAAAAATAAACTTTCCAAAATAATTCATAAATGAAACAAAACAGAATTGAGTTTCAGAAGACATTATGTTGTGATCTAGGCTTCCTGAGTCATTAAAACACACGAGTAGTCCCAAAAACCTCTTTTATTGCAACAGCTGTGAATTACGTTCATTGACAGCTGAGTCCCAATTAGTTGCAAAAAGTCCTTTGGGAGAAGTCCTTTGGGATAATCAACCTTTATCTCCCTTGACACGCTGCCAAAGACCTACTTGGCAAAGCCACACACGGAGTCCAGAATCAAACAGAGATGCAAAGGGCCCACGTGCCTTTGTTCCTCTTTTAAGCCTTATAGGAGGGGCCAATCATCTCCAGGCCTTACTCCCAAGTCGTCCCTTTTGTTTTAACTATTCTTGCCTTCCGGCAGCTCTGCGCATGTGCGCACTAGGAACAGGCTCTTCCTGTTCCTCTGCCTCTCTGATGTCCGACTCTGGAGGCTCCGGAGTCCACGCATCACTCCCAGATAGCCCTGGCCCCATCTCTGCGTCTGATGCAGAGTCCTTGTCCGAGCCTTCCCCAGACTCCAGGACTGGCCCATGTTCCTCCCCAGCCTCCTCACTGTCCGACTCCGCTGCCAGCTCTGCAGGCTGCTGGTGGACCACAACACATTATTACAAAAGCCCTCAATCTTTCTGTCTAGAATGATATATGGATATATTTAAATTATTGACCTTTTCATTTCCAATTTGATTGAAAAATGTCAAGTTATTTAATACAGTAAATTATTTCTCTCAAGGACGATAAAGACGCATATAGACCCACATGGCATCTCCGTAGTTGCTGGATGCACAAGCCACATATCATACACATTTTAGCCTAATATGTTGTGTGAACTCAAAGCCCATGATTAGCACATAGTTCACCTTGCCATGCAAACGAGGCTACATCGAGTCAACCAAGTTTAACCATGAGTAAGAACTTCGCACAAAGGCATCTTATATCTACCATTTTCTTCCCATTTTCTTCTCTATCTTTTTAATATATATTTTAAGGTGGCAAACATATCTAATACCTCCCCACAACAGTTGTGTGAAGTGGGTTGGGCTGGGGAAGAATGAATGGCCCAAAGTTTCCCAGACAGTTTTTATGCCTTGGGGAGGCCTAGAACTCACAGTCTCCTGGTTTCCTTAGAACCTTAACCATTCCACCAAACTGAATTTGACTCCCAGTCTTGCCTGCTGCTTCATAATTTTTCTTCACCAACAGCCTTGCTCCATGCCAAGACTTTCTCTCCAGGAAACAAGGCTGCAAGAAATCTGAGGCAATTCAAGGCTGCTCCGTCTCTCTGAAAGATGTAGATCCATGTGTCGCAGGTATGGTTAGAAAGAGAGCTGGATTCAAATCCTTGCTCAAATACAGGTAGTCCTCAACTTACAACCACAACCGAGCCCAAAATTTACATTGTTAAGTGAGAAATTTGTCAAGTGAGTTTTGCCTCATTTTACACCACTTCTCGCCACCTTCGTTAAGCAAATCACTGCAGTTGTTAAATTAGTCACACAGTTAAAGTGAATCCGGCTTTCCCCATTGACTTTGCCCGTCCAGAAGGTCGCAAAAGGCGATCCCATAACCCTGGGACACTGCAACCGTCATAAATGGGAGTCAGCTGTCCAAGCCTCCGAATGTAAATCACGTGAGTGATGCTTCCACGGTCATAAAAGTGTGAAAAACAGTCACAAGTCACCGTTTTCAGTGCCAGTTGTAACATTGAGAACGGTCACTAAACGGAACTGTTGTAAGTCGAGGACTATCTGTAAACAAAGTAACTTTGGTGAAGATGCAAAATGAGAGGACGCTGCAGTCCAATGGCACCAACCGAATTAAAGACTGAATGAAACCAATAAAGGAAGCCACCTGATGGCAGGAATGACTTTGGCCATTTAATGCAGGGGTCTCCAACCTTGGCAATTTTAAGAGTTGGGGGCTGAGGGATTCTGGGAGTTGAAGTCCCCAAGTCTTAAAGTCAAGGTTGGAGACCCCTGCATTAAATGGCATTGTGTTCATGGCAGGGGCTATAGAGACCCCACATTCTGGCAGGAAAAAGCGGGCGGGAAAATTACAAGGGTGCTCTTACACTTCTGCGCCCCGCGTGCCGGAGAGTGACAGGTCAGGATTTCTCCCCACCTCGACCGTCCAACGGCCGCCTCCTCGTTGGTGCCGCCGCTGCTACCGCTTTGCAATTCGGTGCTGTCGAAATTCAGGCCGCTCTAGAATTTCCTTTTCGTTGGTTTCTAATCGCACCATAGAGTTGCAGAGAAGGCAAACAGGCGCGGCGGCCCCGTCGGGAGTAGTCTCCCGGTGGGGAGAAGAGTTGAAGCCCTGAATGTTGAAGCAAACGCCCCCATCAATTTCTATGAGGAAACCCTCTCTAGCTTTCCAAACCTCCGTTCTGGAAAACTTCAAAAACGAAAAGCTATTTGGGGAAGGATGGGCCGGCGCACGTGACCCCGGAAGATATCACTTGACAAAGCCGTCGCATCTAACCTTTTACGGAGCGACGTTTTTTTTTTTTTTTTTTAAACAGGGATAGGCGTGTTTTTACCGGAAGGAAACGAGCGTGCCCATCTAGACCGCTGAAGCTCTGTGGCTGCGGACGGTGTAAGAAGGAAGGCGTGGCGCATATCGTTGGTTGGTCCTCCCAGACAGCCGGGTTTCCGGTCCCCTCCCAAGCGAGGCAGTTTTACGGTTCCTTCTGACCGTTACTGCTCCATCCTCTTCCTCCTCCTCCGTTGTCGCCTTTTCTTCAGTGTCAAGTCTTCTCGAGGACTCCCCTCTTCGTAGTAGGTTAGTTGAGGGACAGGTGGTTCCGCCCATTGAGGAATTACTGGGGGGGGGGTTGGAGGATGAATGGCTCCTCCCTTAGATAGGGCATGGGCTTGATATGAGGGCGGGGGTCGGTTTCTCCCCCCCCCGGCATTATGTGGGGGGGTACCTTACCGGGTGGGTAGGTGGGTGTTGGAAAGGTGAATAGCCTGATTTCTCCCCAGGTAGAATGGCTCCTTTCCCGGGTGGGGCTTGCAGGTTGCTGTTCTCGGGAAGAGAAGTGTGACATCGTTGCTGGGGGAAGGACGTAGAAAGGTGATGGGGAGGGGGGGGGGGGGGTGGAGTGGGGTGGATAATTATATAGAATAGAATAGAATATAACTTTATTACGGTCATCGACCAGCAAGGATAATTATATATTTTGGGGGAGATGGTCATAATTGCCCCTCGCTGAATCTGCAGCTCCTATTAATAGCTCCTATTTTGTAAGCAAAAATCTAAAGCCCACAAGCCTACAGACAAGAGCCTGTAGTACAGTGGACTAAAGCACTGTTATTAACATCAGCTGCTTGCAATTACTGCAAGTTCAAATCTCCCCAGGCTCAAGGTTGACTCAGCCTTCCATCCTTTCTAAGGTAGGTAAATTGAGGACCCGGATTGTGGGGGCAATAAGCTGACTTTGTATAAAATATACAAAAGTATGAAGGCTATTGCTTAACGCATTGTAAGCCGCCCTGAGTCTCCGGAGAAGGCGGCATATAAATAAATAAATAAAAAAAAGCAAAAGTCATCTGCCATGAGGAATTTACAAGCTGCAATGGACGCATGGGGGGGGGATTTATTTATTATTTATTATTTATTTATTAGTTCAATTTATATGCCGCCCTTCTCTGAAGACTCAGGGCGGCTTACAATGCACTTATATCAATAGCCTTCATTCTTTTGTTTATACCTGCTTATTAGGGCTTTTGGCCTCCCATAAGCGGTGTTTCTACAAAGTCAGCTTATTGCCCCCACAATCCGGGTCCTCAGTTTACCTACCTCGGAAGGATGGAAGGCTGAGTCAACCTTGAGCCTGGTGAGATTTGAACTCGCACTAATTGCAGGCAGCTGGCAGCTAAGTGCTACATAACAGCACTTAGTCCGCTGCACCATCAAGGTGCTGTGGTGAGGAAAAGTCAGAAAGAATAACTAGAGGAGAAAGTTTTGGATTGGTTAGATCAGTGGTTCCCAACCTTTTTTTGGCCACACATCACCTAAGCATCTCTAAAATCCTGATTGCCTCCCTCCATGCGCACCCACATATAATTTTTACTTTACTCAAAAGGTGAACTCTACTCAGCGGAGGAAGCCTAAAACGCCATTAACTTGGTTTAAACAGGGTTCAGATTGCCCCCGTTAAAAATCAAATTGCCCCCCTGTGGGCCCCATGTTGGGAACCACTGGGTTAGATTAATAGCAGGTAACAGTAACAGTAGAGTTGGAAGGCACCTTGGAGGTCATCTAGTCCAAACCCCTGCTCACACAGGAGACCTGTACTAGGGATTTGAACCGCTGACCTTTCTGATTGACAAGCTCAGTGTCTTAGCTACTGAGACACCTAGTCAGGCTTAGAGGGTATGTGCAGAGAGAGAAGCTGGGGTCCCTTTGGTAGATACCTTTTCAGGGAATTTGGGGTCAGGTAGAGGAGTAGGAAGGGCTTTCAGGAACAGGGAAAGATTGTGAGATGGGAGTGTGCAAAAAAAAAAATCACATTTGCAAGTTATTTCTCTGCTTTGGTTGGAGGGGGGAGGACATCTGCAGGTTAGAAAACATAGATGGGAGTAGCTGGAAAAGGAATCTGCTGTTCTTGAGATGGGATGGAGATCTCAAGTTCTGTAAGGGAAAAAGTTAAGAGTTGTCTTTGCAGTGGGCCCATGTAGTAGAGATGGATACGGTCAGTCACCACTTATAAAGTAAATTAGTAAAAGAACAAAATGAACGTTTTGTATTTATTAGATTTATAGTGCCGCTATTTATATATTATTTATAGGCAGGTATATAGTGCCCCCTTCTCCCATTTTTCTTCATAATAAGGCTTTTAGGTACAGTAGGCTGGGCTGAGACAGTGTGTGACTATCCCCAAAGTGCTGAGAATGAATAAGATTTCTTGTTGTGACTATGGGTCATAGCATTGAAACATGGCATGAAATACAATATAACAAAATAAAAGAATGTTAGATACAAAGAGGTCAAAGCTAGATACAATCGGGGCTATGATTAAGAACTTGAGTTTAAATGACGACAGAGCAAAAGTAGCAATCTGGCTACTAAAGTTAGAAACATATCTGCTACATAATAATTTAGCCATTTGAGTCCAAGCTCTTGAATTCACTTACCATTAATAATGTGGTCAAAATCTGATTGTAAATAGGGCAGCGGAAGACAGAGTAAAATAATGCCCTTCACTTGACTGACATCTTGGGGACAGAAATGTTGTTCAATAAAATGTTTACAAAATCTCCTCTCAAGATATCTGAACGCATAGTCTGCAAATGAATATTAAAAACTTTCTGATTGAGATGTTGGTAATTAACCAGGCACTAAGACAGGGCTGTCAAACTCCTGGCCTGCGGGCTGGATGCATCACGTACTGCCCGCTCCCGGTTTAGCGAAGGGGAAAAAAGTCCCAATATGTCACATGATGCTTCCATGACAACGTGAGTTTGACACCCCTGTACTAGTAGATGCTTCTATGTTTTCAATAGTGATTAGAATCTGTGCTATAGTAGCATATTTATTTATTGGATTTTTATCCTGCTTTTATTGCCTTATAAATAGCTAAACATGGCATAACTAAAGGTCACTGTATAAGTAAATAAAGGTGGCATACATATATGCATAATACTCCTTCCTCCTCCTCTTTCCCCCACAAAACAACCCTGTGACGTGGGCTGAGCTGAAAGAGACTGACTGTCCCAAAGTCACCCAAATGGTTTTCATGCCTAAAGTGGGACTAGAATTCACACAGTTTCCTGGTTTCTAGGCCAGCACCTTAACAACTACACCAAATATCAAACAGCTTACTATTTTCTGTTTTCTGAATTAGGAATGGTGACAGTGCAGTCCATTGATTCTCAGTTGTGTAATGGAGAAACCAAAGTTTGGCAATATAGATTCCTGAAGACTTTCTGGTTTCTTATAATGCCCCAGCAATGCAAGATGTATTCGGACAGCAATGGAAAGTAACACTACATCCATTCTTAGATTAGCTATGGGGGTGTCTTGGGGAGCCCCAAGATCTTCCTTATGAGGATGTTTTAGACTACTTCCAGTTGAAAAATAACCTCCTCATCCCATCCCCAGATTTCAGCCCCATGCGGTGTCTGGGCTATCAGCATGCCCTGGAATATTTTAAGTTCAAGGGAGGTAGGATTAAGATTGGTGCAGTTCTTATGGAAATGTTTCTGATCTAAACAGGCAGAGGAGCCTTGTGTTAGTCTTGGTTCACACAACACACTAAATTGGAATCTTGATTAGCCACATTTTTCCCTACTATGTATGAACTAACCTATCTGGTTACTTTATCATGTCTTGTGGAATTCCAATCCTGAAAATTGAGGGATTCCCTCACCCCCTCAAATCATAGTTAGTTTAACTGTGGATTATAGCACTCTGAACACAGTCAGATTGCACAGAAGGGAAGAATGTACTAAAAACTTGGTAGAGGCTTTTGGTTCTTTGCAGAGACCTGGTACTCATTATCTTATCTAGAAATGAGGTATTTATATTAGGAACAACTGCTTGCTTAGGGAGGCCAATGTTGTTTCATGCATGTTTTAAGAAAAAAAAACTGTTCAGTTAAAGATCTGGGAATCATTTTGCACTCTTAACTGAATATTTCTGTTTCTTGCACTTGAAGACTTCTTGCATTTGTAGATTGATTCATATCCTAAATACATAAAAAAAATTAATTCCTATGTTCTAGTGACAAATTCCAGGGATGAAGACATTTTGGCTCCCAGCATTATGGTTAGCAATAGAAGCCAGTATCAAATTTAATTTCTTTGAACTGAATAGGGCAGATTTTTTTTTCCTTCCTTCAATCTGATATAGTTTAGTATGTTCTACTCTCCACCAGACAGGCACAAATATGTTCCTGCCCTGTCATTAATCAGGGGTTAATTCCCTGCCACAATATGAAGGTGAGCTAATCTACCAGTTTCCTGTGCAAAGAAGGACCCATTACTTTGAAATGCTGGCTCTTGCTGGCACCAGTGAAGCACCTCCTCTGATTAGACTCTTCAAGCTGTTAGGGAGAGATGATTCTCAGATTAGAAACAATATAGTTTGTGTCTTTCTTCCTCTGAGGTTGTGGAGTGGCGGGGGGGAGGGCAGGAACTGCTGTGATGAAACAGCCTTTAGTCACGAGTGCTGCTTAGCTGAAAGAAGCATCTTCTGTGTGTTCATTTATTCCTTCCTGGCTTCTTGAATTAGATGGGTGGACTTTAGCTTTGGAGAAAAACTACCTTTATGATTGTCATTATTTATTGATTGGATTGCAAAGCTTCCTGACTCCAAAAAAGATACTTACCACATTTCAAAGAATACATAATTTAAAAGAAATAGGATACCCAGATAAAATTACACAAACAAAATCCAGGGAAATAAATTGAGAGGGCTTCCACAAACATCCTGACCCCAGGCCTGGGAACACAGCCAGATCTTGAAGAGACATCTGGAACATTTAAAGTGTGAGAGCCGTATGTGTTTCTGGGGGTGCTGGTTCCAGAGAGCAGGGATGGAACAGAGATGGCACGCTTCCTCCCGTCCCATAAGATGACAATGTTTAATTGAAGGAAACAGGAGTGCATCCACTTTGTTCTATCATACCAGATTGGCAGAAATTGGAGAAAGGCAATCCCTTAAATAACCAGTTCCTATTCCATGAAGGGCTTTATTGGTGACTAGAAGGCTGGTAACCAGTGCAGCTCATAAAGCAGCAATAGCACATGGCAAAAGGTGCTATATCCTACATTAGATTAGAATAGAATGGAACGGAACGGAACAGAATTCTTTATTGGCCAAGTGTGATTGGACACACAAGGAATTTGTCTTTGGTGCATATGCTCTCAGTGTACATAAAAAGACAAGATACATTCGTTAAGAATCATAAGGTACAACACTTAGCGATAGTCATAGGGTACAAATAAGCAATCAAATCATACTAGGAAACAATATCAATATAAATCGTAAGGATACAAGCAACAAAGTTACAGTCATGCAGTCATAAGTGTATGTATGTATTCCCTGCTCCCTTTGGAGGAGCTACTTTCGTGGAACAAAAAAATGTTGATAGGTTGCACTTTCCCATTCAAGACTTCCTAGACTTACAGCTACTGTACTGCACCTAGAATAGGTAAAGGGTCCACTCGCACATATGTGCTAGTTGTTCCCGACTCTAGGGGGCGGTGCTTATCTCCGTTTCCAAGCCGAAGAGTCAGCGCTGTCCGAAGACATCTCCGTGGTTAGGTGGCCGGCATGACTAAATGCCAGAGGTGCACAGAATGCTGTTACCTTCCCACCAAAGGTGGTCCCTATTTTTCTACTTGCATTTTTTACGTGCTTTCAAACTGCTAGGCTGACAGAAGCTGGGGCAAGTAACAGGAGCTCACCCCGTTACGCGGCACTAGGGATTCGAACTACTGAACTGCCGACCTTTTGATTGACAAGTTCAGCATCTTAGCCACTGAGCCTCCGGGTCCCTTTGCACCTAAAATAGGTGGCACTTATAACCAAGAGGGGCTTAATTTTGTGTATAACCACAAGATTCATCTTGTGCCCCAGTTGCATCCTTTCCTTGACCACTCAGGTGCCACCCATGCTTTAGTCACCTCACAATTGAATACTGGGCTACTCTTGAAGATCAGGTGCTACAACTGGTTCAAAATGCAATGATGTGGTGCATCACAAGACTGGGCTCCAGGTAGCTCACTTGGTCCTGCTCAGAAAAAGTGCAAATCCAAGACATTTGTATCCACCAGATAGCATGAATACCCTTTGCTATGGCCCTGGAAATGTTCCAAGCCTTCCCTGTCTAAGTCACTCTTTGTCTTCCTGTAATAGTGCTCTAGAACAGGAGTCTCCAACCTTGGCCACTTTACGACTTGTGGACTTCGATCCCAGAATTCCTCAGCCAGCAGGGCTGGCTGAGGAATTCTGGGAGTTGAAATCCACAAGTCGTAAAGTGGCCAAGGTTGGAGACCTCTGCTCTAGGCATCTCTTCTTGCACTTCATCTCCTGGAGCAGCTCAGAATTGAGGTACACTTCGGAATCAGTGCACAGAGAGGCTTCATAGCAACAATCCTCAATTACTTGAGACACAGGTCAAAGGTTGACTTTATCACCTTCTATACTTAAAGAAGTGAAATGTATTTCTATATATAATTCTGAGCATTAAAACTGTTTCATATCTTTAAGAGAATCATTTCCCCCTTTTTGCGTTGTTTTTCCTGGTACATACTCTTTGATATTAATGATTACTTAATATTATAGATAAAATGTAGCAGGACACTGATTGAAGACTTTATATTATCATAAATATTTGTCAATTTGCAACTTGGGACCATCAGATATTAGAAAGTGTCATTAGTTTAACTCAGCCTGAAGCCTCACAGTAAAAAAAAAAAAACCCTATAGTTGATTATTAATATTATTTGACCTATTAATTTTCTTTGGAATGATTGTCATACAGAAGGTTATGAAAAATATTGGTGTTTTTTTAACGTCTTGAATACTACTATTCTGTGGAACTAATAGATTTACAGTTTGAAGCAGATAACAAAACAACAACTTAAATTTTGTGCTTTTCCCCCTCAGGTGCAATAGGAAACTGAAATCATGACAGACTCCAAATACTTCACCACCAATAAAAAAGGTTAGATTTGATCTGTGATGCGATATTGGTTCTTAACTCTCTACAATAGATACAGTCTACCTCCCAATACCTCTTGCTGGGTTACATGAGAGGGCAAGCTGATACGAGAATTAAGATAAAAAATTAGGAAATGAAAGAATAGATGTCAGAAGTCTGATTCTTCATCCCTGCTGTAGAGACTGAGTTGGTCCATGAAGAGATTGGGTTAGTTCAGCTATGTTGCTAAGCCATTTCTAAAATGGCTTTATTAATAAGCTGGGATGGCATGGTTCATCTAACAATCTAGCCAAGACCACCAAATTAAGCTTAGCTCTGAGGGTATTTTTTTTTAAGAAGTTGGTTTTTAATCAGTGGAAATATAATGAAACGTTATTTCCACAATTTCAGCTTTTTCCACACTCATAGTGGAAAGAAAATTAATCTGACATAGGCTGCAACAAGAAGAAACAATGCTACATGGATCTCCATATTGATCTTCCAGCTAGTCTCTTTGATATGGCTGCAGTAACACAAGTTATTCTTTATTGAACCAAATGTTTTGGAATAAATAAGAACTGGTTGGGTTTATACAACATGTTGACATGTAATCTACAAATCATAGCAATTGGATTCTTAAAATATGCAAAACTATTTTGCATATTTCAAAACCAAAGCCATTTATAAGATTTATATGGCTGCTCATCTTAAAACATAACATTGGGCTGCTCACAACAACAATAAAATCCCAGAACCATAAAACCATAGAACCAAACCCCATCTACCCTGTTTCTCCGAAAATAAGATCTTCCCTGATAATAAGCCCAATCAGGCTTTTGAGCGCATGCGCTAAAATAAGCCTCCCTCTGAAAATAAGTCCTCCCCGAAAATATTTAAACGCAGAGCTGAAAATCAGGTAAGACAGCAAGAGGAGCCCCATCTTGCTCCCAAAATAATAAGACTTCCCTGAAAATAAGGCCAAGTGCTTATTTCGGGGTTCAAAAAAATATAAGACAGGGTCTTATTTTTGGGGAAACACGGTAAAGTTGGAATGGAGACACAAAATAGGTTTAATCCTATCTCATATGGTTGGAATTTTTCTTTTTCCACTTTTTATTTTTGCAGGCTGGGTGAGTGTTTCTTTAAAAAAAATAATAAGTCTGAATTTCAGTTTTTCAATTTCAAAGTAATGAGAAAAGGCTCTGCTGGATTTCCTTGTTACAAAAAAAAGGAGGGCAGATTTTTGATTCCTGCTCCATGTGGAGCCCTTCAGGCAATTAATAAGGTAGGCTGTGTTTTACCTCTAAGGGACTTTTTGACTTAGCACTTCATTGCTGAGGTTGGGATTACATCTTGCGCCTCAGCTAGTAGATCTCCTGCTGAGGTGGTGAGATTGGATAAGACCATATATTCACCTGCTGTTCTGATCATCCCTGACTATCAGAGGTTTGCAGAGCCTGCCTATTCTTGCATTGCCACTTCTCTTTCTTCCCCCTCTTAGGTAATAGAGATTCCTGGCTTCCAGCTAAGCTATTGATCTTCATAGCTGACAACTCCCGGGAGTCACGCAGTCATTAAACAAGCTGATGATTCCTCCCTCCCCCCACCACCCTCTTCTGCTCTCCTGATTCACAGGGCCTTTCCTAATTCTGCCTTTTTGCTTAAAAGGGCGTTTAATTTCCCCTCTCTTCAGTATCATAATTTATAAATGCTAGAATGATTCGACAGTGCCCGTAGTAGTAAAATATCAGAAATCATCCCCGTTTCCAGGGTTTCTCAACTTCAGTGACTTTAAGATACATGGGTTTCAGCTTCCAGAATTCAGAAATTGAAATCCACACACCTTAAGTCACTGAGGTTGAAAAACACTGCATGCTTCAATCCAGTTTGTGTGTTTTGTTTACACTCAAATGAGCTGGTCTCTCGGGTTTTTGAGAAGCCAGATAACATGAGATATTCGTGTAGGTTACCAATGTGTCAGAAGCTCCTTTGACAATTGTGTTCTCCCCTTCTCTCTGGTTCAAACTGGATACAGGTTTGTAGCAGGGATGTGTGAAATTAATCAAAGCCAAAATTAAATGCGGTGTTCCCAAATCAAACTATTTTAGACAATCAAAACACCACAGATGGCTTCCAAACCGCTTCTGGAACAGCCTGTTCTATGAAAAAGTATTTGTTCCCCTTTCAGTTATTCTGAATTTTGGCATATCTTTGCTCCCAAACAGTATCAGAAGTCTGCATAGCTCCCACTAAGCTCTGATAGCATGCAGTGGCAAAGATATTTTTAAAACAGGAGCGAATACTTTCGTGCCAAACCGTAAGTGCTGTCTCCAGGTTGCCAAAGCAGTGACACTTAAAAATCCTTAATGCCTTTAGCCCTGTTTCTAATATTTCAGGTTGTGGCATTTTTGAGCATAGTCTTGTTCTATATACTTAACTTGTGAAAGCATTTAGTGAGAACTCTCACAAAAAAAATTGCTACCGTGCTGGACCTGTATGTTCACAAAACAACAGTCTGGTGAATGTGCCTAATTCCAGAGCCATTTATCCAAAGAGGAGCTGGAATGATTGCACCAAATAGCTTCTGAAAGAAACTGAGCCCTGGGCTTCCTGGGCTTTTTTCCCCTCCAAGTGGAAAATTCATTCTTTTAACAGCAGTTATCCACTGCATAAGGCTGAAGAGGAAGGCTTCCTTCACACTATGCAATTAACGTTTGAAGGTCATTCTTGTAGCCTATGGTTAAAGTAACCTAGTTCACTTTAAAAGCAATGGATTTGCTATAGAAGTAGTCGTTTAGTGAATGATTCCTTTAATGACTTCGCAGTTACGATGGTGGTGAAAAAGTAACTTTATGACTATAAAACTTTATGAAAAAAAAACACAAAACCTTTATGACTAGAGCCGTAGTGGCGCAGTGGTTAAAATGCAGTACTGCAGGCTACTTCTGCTGACTGCCAGCTGCCTGCAACTTGGCAGATCGAATCTCACCAGGCTCAATGTTGACTCAACCTTCCATCCTTCCGAGGTGGATAAAATGAGGACCCAGATTATTGGGGGCCATAGGCTGACTCTGTAAATCGCTTAGAGAGGGCTGTAAAAGCACTGGGAAGCGGTGTATAAGTCTAAGTGCTATTGCTATTCCTTCCATTTACAATCCTTGCAAGTCTGTAAAGCAAAGGCAAGCTGAAGGAAAAGCGTAAAAATCTTGATGTTTCTGTTTAGTGGCAACCACCAAGTGGTCAGTCCAAATTGTGGTTGCTGAATAAGAAGTGCCTGTATCTGTCATAATAATTAAATGTTTGGATCTTGGTAGATTCTGAGGACCACCTTAGACAGAGTTCCCGATTCTAAGGGTGAGGATTTCCAGGATGCCTCTGTTGTCCACTGCTGAAAGCAATATTCGTAGTTGGAGGGGGTGGATTAGTTTGCTCTTGCCAAACTCTTTTGACTGTGGTCCTCGTATGTTTGCCTGCAGGGGAAATTTTTGAACTGAAAGCTGAACTCAACAATGAAAAAAAAGAGAAGAGGAAGGAAGCAGTGAAGAAAGTCATTGCTGCCATGACAGTGGGGAAGGATGTCAGGTAACATCTCTCTAATGGCTTTCCTGTGCCGTTTTTCCCACTTCTTCACCCAAGTATAAGTTTTAATGAGGCAGAAGGGGGAAATGATTAAATGCTTAGGAAATAGAGCCGAGGTGGCGTAGTGGTTAGAGTGCAGAACTGCAGACTACTTCAGCTGACTGCTAGCTGCAGTTCAGCAGATCGAATCTCACTGGCTCAAGGTTGACTCAGCCTTCCATCCTTCCGAGGTGGGTAAAATGAGGACCCAGATTGTTGGGGGCAATATGCTGACTCTGTAAACCACTTAGAGGGGGCTATAAAAGCACTATGAAGAGGCATATAAGTATAAGTGCTATTGCTATTGCTAAATGTCTCCGTGTTTGCTTTGCCCAGTGTTTAAATGGCATGCCATGGGCCGTCTACAAAGATCAAACATGGCCCCCAAAATGTTTGCCTTAGATTCTAAGGCCTATGATACAGTATGTGTTCTGCAAATGAAACATGACTTTATCCGAAAACTTAGAGAGATGCTGTCAGATGATGATGAGTTTTCTTAGGGAGATTAAGGCAGTATAGATTTCCCTTTATTTTATCTCTATAGCAGTGTTTTCTCAACCTCAGAAATTTTAAGCTATGTGGACTTCAATTCCCAGAATTCCCCAGCCAGCAATGCTGAGATTGAGGAACACTGCTCTACAGTAATACTATGCATTAGGTTGGGCTGAGAGAGTCTTAGACCCAAAGTCACCAGGAGTTCTTTAAGGAAATGGGGCCTTAAATTTGACCCCATTTCTCTAGCTAACTTCAGCGTATTAACCACTGCCATCGGTCTAGGAATTACTGCTTTAACCTGCCTATCCTTTTTGTCCAGTTCCCTTTTCCCTGATGTAGTGAATTGCATGCAGACTGATAACTTGGAGCTAAAGAAGTTAGTGTATCTCTACTTGATGAACTATGCCAAAAGTCAGCCAGATATGGCCATCATGGCTGTGAACAGTTTTGTGAAAGTAAGTTGCAATATTTATGTGTCTTTGCTGTACTTCAATAGCAAAATAATAATTTGGTGTGAAATTTCTGCATATGTTAAAACTGTAAATCACCCAGAGCCATATGACCTGGGTAGTATATAAGTATATGGACAGCGTGATGACAGAGATATGCATGAATCTCAGTAAGGGCTCTTTTTTATATAGATATACAATATTTTTTACCCAAAATAACACCTCATTTTCATCTCTGTCTACTTTGAAGACGTTTCCAAACTGCAATGGAGCTGCTATGTCCTATCTGATGCTAAGTGAGTCCGGGATAGTTAATTGCCAAGCCATTGATTTCCCAGCTGCTGATGTAATTTTACTTGACAGCAGAAATTAAATTGAGAGATTCCTTTCTTTATTGTCAGACATAGATGGAAAAAACCACTTTTGAGCATTCGTTCCATCTGGAAATCTGTTATCATTTTTTTCAGGAACTAGAAAACAAAATGTAAGGATTCTGTTTAAGGGCTGAATGCATTTCTGATTAATATACCTAATTCAGTCCTTGCTCCTGGTCAAGATCATTTTTCTTCTCTCCCCAATGTACCCCAGGACAAAGGTTTATAGGGGGGGGAGGTTCTCCTTAAATCAACTTTCCACTTATCTGCATTAATGGTTATCCTTTTCCTGCACAGTAGTAACACTTCTCTGATCCTTTTGTAATGTCATGGTAAGTTGGGTAAGTAGGAACTCATTGACACTTTAAAGGGACAATTTTTTTTTGTCCTTTTAGAGGCAGATAGGACAAGCATTTTCTTAGAACTGCTGCTATTAGGTATGTGCAAAATGTTCCAGAGATCTCCTGTTACATTGTTTGTTAGATGGTTTCTCAGGATCCTGGCAGTCCACCTGTTCTAAGAGAGTTCTGCAGTTTTCCAAATATAAATCCTCCAGAACATGGGAGTGGTTTGTGATGTTCCAGATTTAGTTTGACCCAGAATAGGAAAAGCTGGATAAAATTCCTAATGTTCGTTGCATAGAGCCCATTTCTATATTTATTAATTTCCTTATCCCAGGACTGTGAAGATCCCAACCCTCTCATCCGTGCTCTAGCAGTGCGTACTATGGGATGTATCCGCGTGGACAAGATCACTGAATACTTGTGTGAACCTCTCCGGAAGTGTCTGAAGGATGAAGACCCGTATGTGCGCAAGACCGCTGCTGTCTGTGTGGCCAAACTGCATGACATCAATGCCCAAATGGTGGAAGATCAGGGCTTTCTGGATTCGTTGCGTGATCTTATTGCAGACTCCAATCCCATGGTAAGGTATTAATCCCATTGAAATTGGCTTCCTTCAAATAACAGGTGATATACTGCTTGGTTCTGGGAGAAACAGGAACTTAGTGGTAGATCTCATGCTTTGCAGACAGGAGACCCTAGATTAGATGTAGTTCTTTTCCAGTTTTTGCAAAAAAAGGAACATTGAGTTGCTAATGTTTATCTTAAGGCAGTGATGGCTAACCTTTTGCCATCGCGTGCCAAAAACATGGGGAGCATGGGGGAGGGTCGTGCATGGGTGTGCCCACACCCATAATTCAGTGCGCCCTGTGCATGCACGCGCAACTCCCCCTGTGGTTCCCCACTTTTGGCATGTGATGGCCCGGTAGGCCCATTTTTCTCCCTTCCCAGGCTCCAGAGGCTTTCTAGGAGCCTGGGGAAGGAGAAAACGGCCTTCCCCACCCCCCGGAGCCCCTCCAGAGGCCTGAAACAGCCCATTTCCTGACTTCCAGTGGGCCCAGAAGGCCCGTTTTTCACCCTCCCCAGGCTCCTAGAAAGCCTCTAGAAAAACGGGCCTTCTGGGCCCACTGGAAGTCGAGAAACGGGCCGTTTCCAGTCTCCGGAGGCCCTCCAGAGGCCGGAAACAGCCCATTTCCTGACTTCCAGTGGCCCCAGAAGACCCAAAAATCAGCTGGTTGGCATGCACATGCACACTGGAGCTGAGCTAGGGCAATGCTCACGTGTCCACAGAAGATATGGCTCCGTGTGCCACCTGTGCCACGCATGCCACAGGTTCACCATCACAGGCTTAGAACCTTCCAATCTGAGCAAACAGTTTTAATCCCTTTCTTATACTAAAAAGGAAATTATATGCATTTTGTTTTTTACCTTCACTTGGTACTTGCCTCTGACCTGTTGATCTTCCAGTTTCAAATGCAGCATGGCATGGGTCCAGACTATCTGAGAAACTGGCTCATTCCAATGGAATTAGTCTGCTTCATCCATACTGGAAGAAGGGCCAAGCTGTATTCCCCATCAGCCAAGGAAGCTCTTGCCCCCAGAGGTCAGAGCTGCCTCCAACTTTCTGGGCTTCCAAAAGGCCTTGAAGACATGGCTATGTCAACTAGTCTGGGGCCCTAATGGGGATGTGACATGTTGGAGGTGGCTGATGGGCGTGTCTGCACTTTGCTGCCTCCTTCTTCATCCTGCTCAGTTTTATTGTAATTTAAATATAAGATCTGTATTTATTATTTTAATTATTTTATACGACATTTCATTTGATGTCTATAAGCCGCCTAGAGTCACCTTTGTGAGATGGGTGGCATACAAGTTTTGAAAAATAAATTTGAACTAAACGTTTAAGGAGCTGTGGTGGTTCAGTGTTTAGAATGCAGTATTGCAGGCTAACTCTGCCACAGCCTGGAGTTCAATCCTGAGCGGCTCGAGGTTGACTCAGCCTTCCATTCTTCCAAGGTTGGTAAAATGAGGACTCAGATTGTTGGGGACAGTATGCCGACACTGCACAGAGAATGCAGTATATAAATCTTAAGTGCTATTGCCGTTGCTATTAAGGCAAAGGTGAGCCCGCTTACACTGATCCGTTTATTGGAACTGAAAGATGCTAACTGATTAAGGATTAATATAAAAGAAGCTTTTAATTCATCTTGGACAAGACACTTTGGAAAAAATGGGCTGTCATGTGAGCTATTAGTTGGGTGTTCTGAATGGAATGTGGCACTAAACAAAAATTCAGCTTTCTGAGAAATGATTATGTTTTTGTTTTATTAAATTCTCACCCATGGTCGTTTTGTGTCATCTGCTTTCTGAGTAGGCATTTTGTCTGTCCCCGTCCCCCCCAAAAGCTTCATATTTAAGACAACTTGAAACATTAAGGTACATTATTCATATGTGTCCATGCTACGCCCAGAAACTTTGGTGACTGGGCTGCAGGTAACATTTGCATTGGGCAAGGGAGATGATTTGTCAGAATCATGCCATGTGTGAGTAGGGGTAGAATGTTCTCTTTTTCTGGATTTGGGATCTTTAGTTTTTGTTTTTTTAAATAATGGGTTATGCCAATTTAAGGACTATCACAATTTCACACATTTCCAGTTTCCAGGATTTTTGGTCATTGCTGTTCAAAGGTGTTTGGGAGTAGCAAGAATAGGATTTGTTGGTCAAAAGGTTTATGGAAGAAAAGTAGCTGATGGAAAAGAGAGGGGACTGTGGAGATTGAGGATGAATTGACAAACTTGTACTCTGGAACAGCACTTTCTCTGTGTTTCGCTTAGGGTCGTATAGGAGACCTTCAAGCTTTCCTGTTTTTCCATTTTGAGAAGGTTTCAAAATCGATGCCTTAGGTCAGGGGTTTCAAACTCGATTTCATTGAGATCCGCATCAGGGTTGTGTTTGACCTTGGGGGGCCGGGGTGGGTGTGACAGGTGGGCATGGCCAACTCGATGTCACTTGTATCGGGGGGGTGGGTGGCCCAAGCACTCTGCCAGTGAAAATGGGCTCCCAAGCTCTGTTTTGGACTGTGACAGCCCTCCCGAGGTTTGTTTTCACTGGCAGAGGATTGCAGGAGGCTGTCGCAGCCCAAAACGGAGTTTGGGAGCCCGTTTTCGCTGGCAGAAGCACTGTGGACCAGTCCTTCGCTGTTTCCAGGGCAGCCCTGCAGGCTAGATCTAAGCACCCTGTGGGCCAGATCTGGCCCTTGGGCCTTGAGTTTGACACCCTTGCCTTAGGTGTTGCAGAGACTTGGGACACCTGTTATGATCCTGATACCTCCACAAATGAGTATTTGCAGGGGGGTTGGAGGAATTTGGCAGTGGAGCGTACCTTCAATCTCCACAAGGCTTATAGCACCCATTTCACCTCATCCATTCTCAGGGCAGAGGCAGATACTGTTGGAAATGACTTCAACAAACAAACTTGGGTCGGTGAAAACAGAGAGATTTTATTTCAAAATAAGCAAGAAAGCAATTTTGCAAAATGTGGTGGGGTATCCCAGCATAGACCTCAACAAGAAGTTTGAGCCAGGAAGCCACACCCTTAGATTTCAAAAACATTAATTATATACAGTTCTATCATGTCAAAGCAGGGAGCCCATTTCCCTCCTCCTTTGGACTTATTGGACAGGCCCTCTTGGGGTTTTAGCTAATCCAAGATGCCTCAAAGGAATATATTATCTCTCTCTTTGTTCTCTCAGATTACTTTTTCTTCAGTATCTCCGGTACCTATCCGTACCTCTCTGTTAATACGTTATTACATAACATCTCTCAGCTCTCTAGCGTTAAGGAATGTCTCTGTGCACCCTCAGCAGGGCCCCTCTCCTATGCCAAAAAACAAGATAATGCCCACATGTCCTTCTCCAAGCATATGCACCATAGACATGGGAGAAAAGTTCCACAAAGCATATAATCTAACTATATTGCAAAATTCAGTCATATTTAGATCTTAATGCAGGAAGGATACAATTCATTTCATACATATGTTTTTACAGAGCTCCATGTATTATAAATGCTTAACAAATTAATGCTTAAATGGAAAATACTTTTGTAGCAGCATAACATATATTGTACAATAGAATAACCAGTTTCTATTCATTTATTACTATTCCCTTCATTACTATTTTATTTTTGAATTCCCTTATTTCTTACAATACTAAGAATCTCCAAAGGGTTCTGGAGCATCATGCAGCTTTTAAGCCATGGGTTGCTCAGTGTTAAATTTGATGCTCTCGCTGCCTTTTCCTTTCAATTCTGGAGCAGATGAAGCTGACCAGAATTCTGTCTCAGTAGCCCAAACCTTCTTAATAGTGATGTAAGTGTTGGCAAGATGCCACAAAATTTCCCAGACTATGATTTGCAGGGAGGGAAAAGAGTAGTTATTGATTGCCTTGTGGTTTTCCTGAGATGGTAGCACTGAAGTCTGCTTTTTCCTGGTTCTTCCCTGACTGTTCCCCCCCCTTATAGAAAACCATACACCTTTCTGGCTTTCAGAAGGCATCTGTCTAAGATGCTTCCATTCTTTGCCTGAGTGAATATTGATGACTTCTCAGCAACGTTATCTTCTCGCCACCGCAATAAGCTTTGTGAGTGTTGGCCAAAAGCCAACTTGACTTCTTTTTTTAAAAAAAATTTGCCCATCATCCAGACTGCAGGTGGAAAGGAACAGAGGAGCGAAGGAACAAAAGGGATACGTTCCTTTTAAAAGAAATGAATGATTTTGGCCAATGAAACAACCCACAAATAGATTAAAGCGCAGATGGACTGTTAAACTCATGAATTGCTGAGCTAGTTATGCCCATTGTTGTACTACTGTGCTATCCTAGATATTTTGGATGATTGAGAAAGACAGGGAGATTGCTAGGAGGAGATTGTAACAGGAATGGATGTACGAACAGAAGAGAATCTGAGGAAGCAGCATCCCAAGGGAAGGGACACCAGGTGGAGACAAAATGCTGAGAGAAGAAAGGCGACATGCTGCTGGTAGGAAAAAATAATGTGGACGGAATAGCTGGAGAGCATCTGCCCAGGATGCTAATTTAGAACTCTTTTTCAAGAACAGTTAGATTATTATTTTTGTAGAGAAACCATTTTGAATACCTAATACCCTGTTTCCCCGAAAATAAGACCTCTGCGGATAATAAGCCCAATCAGGCTTTTGAGTGTATGTGCTAAAATAAGCCCCAGCCCGAAAATAAGTCCTCCCCAAAAATAAGCCCTCACCAAAAATATTTAAATGCATGCACAGCCGGTCCCCTCCATTTCCTCTGATTAGGGTTAGGGAGATAGAGCTGGAAATCAGGAAAGACGGCAAGAGGAACCCCGTCTTGCTCCACGCCCCCCAAAATAATAAGACCTCCTTGAAAATAAGGCCAAGCGCTTATTTCGGGGTTCAAAAAATATAAGACAGGGTCTTATTTTCGGGGAAACATGGTAGTTCCCAGAGTATATGCTTTATGGCAGGTGACAGCATACTTTAGTTTGGCAAGATTCTTTCTATGGGTGAGGAACCATAAAGAAGTCTGCTTGGAGGAAT